CGGATCACTCTCAATGGGTCAAATCGGCTTACAATTACGTACTTGGCCTAGTTTAGCCCAATGTATTTAGAATTATCCTTTTTATGTGCTTCTCGCTGGTGAAGACACGTCCTGCTGCAATTTGTTCTTCATCAGCGACACCGTACGTCCAGGTTGTTGTGAGATATTTAACTATTTATCACTCTAACTGGCAATCTGGCACTAATTCAGCCATGAATTAAAAAATTGCCAATTTTCACCGTGAGTTCAGTAGTCAGCTTTGCAGTTAAAGCGAGCCATACATTAAGTATTGCATTAATGGTTTGACTTGAAGTTTGCAATTTTCAAAGGTCAGCTTTGTCATAGATAGCCAAAAATTCCAGCTGCCTCTGCTGCATAATAATTACTACTACGACCGTACTAAAATATAAGTATTTTTGAACGGATGAGATACTTTCTAGACTATGAATCTAGATAGATAGTATATTGATGTCCTGAAAGTTGTCTCATCTGTTTAAAATCTTTTATATTTTGAGACAAAGAAGGTATATTGCTGTGCTATCGTCATCAGCATGGGTGTTGTGCTTGTTGGAGTGATCATACGGGAGTTGCAAATTGCAACTCAAATCGCTAACAATAGTACATAACCATTGGTTAACTGTTCTAAATAACAGCACATTTACTAGCTAGCGGATGCATTCACTGGTGGAGAAACCGTCTTTGGTCGGTCGCCCGAAATCCACAATAGTCTCGGTTCCACTAAAAACCGGGACTAAAAATGATCTTTAGTCCCGGTTGGTGGCTACAACGGGTATATTTGATCTTTAGTCCCGGTTGGTGTTACCAACCGGGACTAAAAATGATCTTTAGTCCCGGTTCTAAATCTGTCAGGCCTTGTCATCTTTAGTCCCGGTTGGAAGCTTTACTCGCGGTTGGAGTTACCAACCGGGACTAAAGATGTATTTTTAGTCCTGGTTGGTAATACCAACCGGGAGTAAAGATTCCCATGCTATCCCCGCCTTTAAGTCCCCTTTTTTTCTCTCCTCTTTAAGTCTCTCGGTATCCGCCTCCAGCGCCTCCTCGATATCCCCTTCCTCCCCTGGCCCTTCCCCTTCCTCCTTCCCCTCTCTGCTCCCCTTTTCTATCCCCGCCTCCTCCTCCTCCTTCCCCTCTCTACTGCGGCCGGGCGGCGGCGACGGAACGAGGTGGCGGCGACGGAGCAAGGCGACTGCGCGGCGGCGGCTGGTGGGGCCGCGGCTGTGCGGCGACGGTGGAGCGAGGCGGCCGCGCGGCGGCGGCGGAGCGAGGCGGCCGCGCGGCAGGCGGCCGTGCGGCGGCAGCGGAGCGAGGCGGCCGTGGGCGGCGGTAGGTGGGGCCGCGGCCGTGCGGCGGCCGCGCGGCAGGCGGCCATGCGACGGCGGCCGATGGGGCCGCGGCCGGCGGCCGGCGACAGCGGCAGTCAACATTGTTTTTTTATTTGTGATTCACTGTGATGTACTTTTGTATGGACAATATTGTGATTCATTGTACATTTGTATGGATCTGTGATGTATAAGATTTGTGATGTTACTTTGGTTTGGGTTTGATTTGGGTATTTGGGGTTTGATTTGGGATATGTATCCCACTTGATTCGAGAGAAAATAAAAAAGAAAAAAAAGAAAAGGACCATCTCACCGCCGCTACCTCTCTTTGGTCTCGGTTGGTGTTACCAACCGGGACTAAAGATCCCCTCTCTTTAGTCCCGGTTGGTAACACCAACCGGGACTAAAGATCGATCTTTAGTCCCGGGCATTTGAACCGGGACTAAAGATAACGATCTTTAGTCCCGGATTGGTAGTCCCGGTTTAAAAACCGGGACTACAGGGGGGTTACGAACCGGGACTAAAAAGCACTTCTCCACCAGTGATTCCAATGGATTAGTAAGGACAGATGCAATTTATCTTGCTGGGGTCAACAGTAGTGTAGGCCGCAGATCAAATGGCAGTAGTTATCATAAATTGCATGATACTGTATGTTATTTTTACGGAAACAAATTAAACTGAATTTATTTAACATAAACTCACATTTATGTTATTATATACTAAAAGTCCATTAAACTTCCTTCTGCCACGTGGCGCTATGATAAATTAAAGAAAATCCTAGAAATTCTAAAAAAAAACAAAACATCTACCCCTTCATTTTCACTTAAATTGGTGGGTCCAATATTATACACCGTTAGATAAAATTGATCTTAAAACAAACAAAATACTATGGGTCCCACCTCTCCTCTTTATACGTGCATAGGTAGGTCACGTACGGGTATGTAGTACGTACGCCTCCCTCCCTTTTGTTTCCTTTTTTTACTACTTTTTTCCATTTATACAATTGATAATTTTATAAACAAAGAATATACCATTATATAACTCTTTATAAACACAGGTAACTAAATTAGCTCTATAATATTTGAAAATAAAATTTACACCATATTATATGTTTACCCATTAAATCAATAATGTAAGATAGTTTCCACTTAAACCGGTGTACTAATTACTTTGTACTATTATTTTTAAATAATGCACTATTTTAAAATAAAATTTACACAATTATATTGTGTACCTATCAAATAAACAATTTAAGATCTATATTAACTAATATATACATGCACTTAAACAGATAGACCCATTATTTAAATCATTGGATCTATTTTTATAATTACTTTGGACTATTATTCTCAAATAATACATTGTTTTAAAATAAAGTTTACACCGTTATATTGTGTACCCATTAAATTAACAATTTAAAATATAGATTAACTAATTTATATTTATACTAGAACAAGTACGACCCATTATTTAAATCATCGGATCTATTATTAATAACTAAAGTGTCTAAAGTTCTCTTTTTGGCCTGCTGCATAATGCACGTCTACACCTTTTCCTTTCGCATGTGTGACAAAGCGTCATGTCTGAGGCATCTCAGGTGATCATGACCGCTGCAGCGCTACCGATTTTGTTAATAACATGAAAAGAAAATTAAATGTGTGATGCAGTGAGAGAAGAATTAAGCACCGTGTTAACACTTAGCTCTGTTTAAGCCGAAATCGATAGTTGATTACATAATAATTATAATGTATTGTGTTATGTTGTATTCAGATTTTGTATTATTTGTTTGTACAATTGAAAGAAATCATTATGTTACAAATGTGAGCACAATATTAACGAATATCAATAGAACTCTTACTAGGATAAGAGTGTTATAAGGGAGTTTAAGGCGCTATTTTTTCCCTGATTCCATCTTTTGGATTTTCGTTTGCACGCTCCACGCTTTCCAAGTTCGTAAATGGTGCTTTTCTTAAACATCTTTTTAACTTTTTAGAAGTTAATTCATTCGTTTATAATCTCAAATAGCTATCACATAAATAAGATAATTCATCAATTTAAGTTGTCCTAAACCCTAAACCCTAAGTAGTACATAATTATAATTTTTTCATGCGAGTCATGATGATCAGTAAATTGGTGATCAACGCATAATCAAAGTCGTAAGATGAATATGTAAGAGCTACTATAAATAATTGTAAATATGACTATATATAAACATGGACGAAGCTAGAATGAATATTAACATATATCCCATACATATATATTACATGGTTAATATTATAATTACATGTGGTAAGTCCATTAAAATTTCTTAAAATGCCCTCAAGCTGCCACGTGATGCTCTAAAATATTAGAAATTATAAGAAAAAAAGCAAAGTATCTATTACTTGATTTTCACTTAATCGATGGGTCCAATATTATAAACCATTAGATTAAATTGATCTTAGAACAAACCAAATACTACGAGGTTCCACCTCTCCACCTTCGGTACGCACCTACGTACGTGGGTACCTACGCTTCCCCTCCCTTTTTTCCATTTTTCCCTTTCTTCTTTTTCTCCATGTATACGCTTCCCTCCCTTTCTTATTGTATCATGCACCTTCATGAGACGATTTAATCACAAGAATTTTAAGTATCTTGCTCTCACTTTTTCATTTGTAGCCATACTACAAGCAATAGTTTATTATTTACTCGAGAAAAAGAACATGATTCAAAAATCGTAAGTACTTAATCAATCTCCTACTCAAAAGTTTATGAATGGATTTTAAAGATACCTTAAGAAAATAGAACCCTTAAATTATTATAAAATAACAGTATCTAAACTTTAGTTTGCCCTTAATCTATCAGACAAAATTTTTAAACAAACAGTAAAAATCTTACCTTTCAAATAATACAAGTGCTGCGCGGGCCACCTTCCTAGTTTGTTATAACTTGTAGAAGTCGAAAACTTGCATGTTTGCATGGTGATATATCTCATATTAACCTATCTTATCAATTTTTTATTTACAACTATAGGTGACATGAAAAAACGAGGAGATAAAACCAGTTTTCCGTATAATTAAGTCATTGAATATACGAATATATTTGAGATATCTGATTAGATAATCTGTTATATATGGGTGGTCTCTGTATGTTATTGAGCCCCGTTGTTTCGCTTATTTGTGGAATAAGCCATATGACATATTTGCAAATGAAAAGTAATTTGTGAATAAAACTTATATATACATGTTCTTAACGATCTAAAAGCAAAGGCTGAAAAATAAACTACGATGAAAAATCCCTAAAATAAACTCTATATTTAATATTGAAATTTGAAATTTTGGTTGATAAGCATAAGCATACGCAAAAAGATGAGGCCTATAAGTTGTAATTAAAATGATTATACAGATAATAGTCGTCTAAATCACAGTATTTATGCTCTGAACTTAACTGCGAAAGTTGCCTACAATCACTATTCATGCTCTGAACTCCACAGCCAATATTTGACTAATAACTGCAAGCTGTATTAATGCCAATGGGATGGTAGTCCAAAATTCCAAATCGCTATGCGCCTTTCATTTTGCAATTATTTCTCTTGCCTATGTTTTCAAACTAGAGATAGCAGCCAGACAACAAATAATAAATGAATCAACTTCTCTCTATTTATGTTCCCCCCCAAAATAAAAGAACTTCTCCCTATTTATACCATTTCCATGAAGTGCTCGACAGCTCAAACCATGGCCATGGTGCAAGACATCACCGGCTACCTGTGCCTCTCCTTGGCTCTCCTCTTGCTCACTCTCGTCCTCCACAAGGTGGCGAGGAAGGCGACCGGTAATGGCGCCGGCAAGCCGAGGCTTCCGCCGGGGCCGTGGCGGCTGCCGGTCATCGGCAACCTCCACCAGGTCGCGATGGGCGGCCCGCTCGTCCACCGCACCATGGCCGACCTGGCGCGCCGGCTGGACGCGCCGCTCATGTCGCTCAGGCTCGGCGAGCTCCGCGTCGTCGTCGCCTCATCCGCCAACGCCGCCAGGGAGATCACCAAGACGCACGACGTCGCGTTCGCGACGCGGCCGTGGACCTCCACCATCCGCGTCCTGATGAGCGACGGCGTTGGGCTGGTGTTCGCGCCCTACGGCGCGCTGTGGCGGCAGCTCCGCAAGATCGCCGTGGTGGAGCTCCTCAGCGCGCGCCGCGTCCAGTCGTTCCGCCGCATCCGGGAGGACGAGGTCGGCCGCCTCGTCGCCGCCGTCGCCGCCGCCCCGGCGGCGCAGCCCGTGAACGTCAGCGAGCGGATCGCGGCGCTCATCTCCGACTCGGCGGTGCGCACCATCATCGGCGACCGGTTCGAGAGGCGGGACGAGTTCCTGGAGGGTCTCGCCGAGGCGATCAAGATCACCTCCGGGTTCAGCCTCGGCGACCTGTTCCCGTCGTCGAGGCTGGCCAGCTTCGTCGGCGGCACGACGCGGCGGGCGGAGGCGAACCACCGCAAGAACTTCGAGCTGATAGAGTGCGCTCTGAGGCAGCACGAGGAGCGGAGGGCCGCCGGCGCCGTGGACGACGACGAGGACCTCGTCGATGTGCTTCTCAGGGTTCAGAAGGATGGGAGCCTCCAGATGCCTCTCACCATGGGCAATATCAAAGCCGTCGTCCTGGTAAGTAGACAAGTACTTGCTGATTAATACTGTACTAATCTCCCTTAATTGCACACGAATACTTCTGAGCTTAGAGTAGTATTTATCTTACCAATAATTAATTTTTCAATCGTATCTACAATCGTACCCTAACGTACGTTCTCTTCCCTAATTTAGTGAAGGTTCAATCACACTTTCTGGATCTATAATCCATTATATTCGTGAAAGGATGAAATATAAGACATATTTTACCAAACCTCTTTTACCTGAGTGCACTTAAAATTTGACTACTGTTAATGTCAAAATCTACAAAGTTTTACCGTTTAAGAATAAAATTAAATAACTTTAACTGATGAATGGAGCGAGTATATATGAAAATAAAAAAAAAGTATGCACACTGAACAAAGGAAGGAAGTAATTGATAACATATTTTTTTACATATATGGGAAATCATGTTTTTTTTCATGCATATAGGAACTTTTTGGTGCTGGGAGCGAGACATCAGCTAATACACTTCAATGGGCGATGACTGAGCTCATAATGAATCCAAGAGTGATGCTGAAGGCACAAGCTGAGTTAAGTAACGTCATCAAAGGAAAGCAAACGATATCTGAAGATGACTTAGTTGAATTGAAGTACTTAAAACTTATTATCAAAGAGACCTTAAGGTTACATCCTGTAGTGCCACTACTTCTCCCTAGGGAATGTCGGGAGACATGTGAGGTCATGGGTTACGATATCCCCATAGGTACTACTGTGCTTGTTAACGTATGGGCAATAGGTAGAGATCCTAAGTATTGGGAGGATGCTGAGACATTCATACCTGAACGATTTGAGGATGGCCATATAGACTTCAAAGGAACAAACTTTGAATTTATACCGTTTGGAGCTGGACGAAGGATGTGCCCTGGCATGGCATTTGCAGAAGTAATCATGGAGCTCGCTCTAGCCTCATTGCTTTACCACTTTGATTGGGAGCTCCCTGATGGCATCTCGCCAACCAAGGTGGACATGATGGAGGAGTTGGGTGCTACAATTCGAAGAAAGAACGATCTTTACCTTATTCCTACTGTCCGTGTGCCTTTGTCAACTGTCTTATAGTTGTTTACACTTATAAATAGTATGTTTGTCTCGTATGTACGTGTCTAAATGATAAGCTATGTAACTTTTGATGATGTGTACTCCTACTTCCTATCCTACCTATTATAAATTATTATTTAAGTTTAATTCTCAAATTATTCAATTTATTTTTATAATCAAGTAGAAAACTCATGACAATAATTCCATGAATAATCTGCTTTTCAATTTTGATCGATGACTGTCACCTCATTACACATATATGTACTTGCATGCACAATATCTGGTGTAGACTCTGCGACGCCATAACCATGAACAATACGTAAGAGGGAGGATAATAGTCGTGTGCCTCCTATTGCTGACAGTGACTCTGCTAACACAATGACGTTGTGTGAAGAGAAGAGGAGAAGAGGCGTGCTGGTCTGCTGGAGCCTGGAAGTAGGAAGGGAAAAGGAGGGGGATGGAAAGAGGAGAAAAGAGGCTCACGATTCAGCGAATTATAAACTTATAGTGGAATTGATTTGATCAGTTTTAAGAAATTTTCGAAACGTGGAATTCGGAATTCTTGCTCTGGTCGATGTTGTGGTGTGCTTGACTCAGTTCTGAACCATGCCAGTTAGCAGTTTTAACTCCCCAGAACTTCTCGTTTCAAACATAATTAATCAACGGAATCTGAAGTCTTTTTAGAAGATAAATTTGCAAAAGTCCAATATTTCAAACCCTTTTTCTCCTTCACGTGGAATTCAAAAGCACATGGATGTTGCGAAGTGGAATCAGTTGATCCGAATTCAAATTCTAGACTTGATATGTTCACATTTACGACTAATTCATCTTTCAGTGATATATAATATACTCGTCGATAGTGTGACATCAATGACGACTTCATCAATCTAAAGGTATACTCCGTTTTAGATTATAAGATATTTTGACTTTGGTTAAAGTCAAACTATTTAAAGTTTAACCAAGTTTATAGAAAAAATAGAAATATTTTCAACTCAAGATTTAATATTGTAATATTTACATTACCAAATTAGTTTTATTAAATTAATAATTAAATATATTTTTATAATAAATTTATTTTTAGTTGAAAATATTTCTGTTTTTCTATAAATTTAGTTAAATTTGAAGTTATAACCTAAAACAGGGAGTACCGGTAAGTATTTTGAAGGTGCTTATAAAAATAAAGTACGCGCGTGCATTTATACTAACGAGTGTGCGAGTACATGGATTTGTATTTTTGTCTTTTAAAAATAAGCACGTGGAAGCTAGACGCGGTGCTGGTCTCTCTCCGGCTCTCCCCACGTGGGCCAGGCCCCACCTGTGTCGGTGTGTTACTAGCTAGTGATTGATTCGATGAAAAGCGGTGATCAATAAATACTTATATTGTCTTTGAGATTAGTCGGCAAAGAAGTGTCTGCAAATCTTGCAGTTTAAGAACGGACAGCATTACATCATCATCTGAACATTATTGTTGCGCTTGCACTAAATCATACAGTTAAAGTGTACCACCTCTTTTTTTTTTTTTATAATTGACGTGTTTTGAACGTATGACACATGCATGCTCTATAAAAAGAACATGAGAGGTCCTATTTAAAATTAGCATTCGATCTTTTCATTCTCAAAACATCCTCTTGATCCGCTTGAAAATTCTTTTGAAAAAGAGTTCTTCCACGCCTTAGAAAAAAAAAGCTTGTTCGGTTAATTCTTATGTGAAGGCCGGAAGGAATGTTGGAGATTAAGTAATCCTCTCTAAATCCTTCTTAACTTTTTATGAAGGAATTAATCGAGAAGGGCATTAATTTTATATATCTATATGGTTCATTCTCACTAAGTGCAACTAGTGCTAATTTTCTCTTTTCACAGCTTGCCACATCACTTCAAATTAATCTAGCCATTAGATCTAAAATTGATGTCCAAGATGTTTACTTTCTAGCGTGCAGCAAGAATGTCTTTTTAAGTCCAAATTTTCTTGGGCCATGTCACTCTACCGGTTCCTGCATGTTTACATGCATGCCAAGCCATTCCACCTTTATTATTAGCCATACCATTATTATTGGCCCACTATCTTTCGGTGGACTGCTCATCTTCTAGAAACTGCCAAGCCATACAACCAGTCAACCAAGCTATAAATTAAGCAGTGGCATAGCATAGGATTAGCCACATTCATTGATCATTCAAGATTTCAGACAATTGTGAGAAATTTCATCTCACATCTATTGTCGAGACCCAATGTCAGTTATCCGGTTTCATACACCCAAGCAATTTAAGATTGTCAAGATTTTATCATGAAATTCCGGGCTGTTCATATTGATGCTATTTTCAACCATATTATTTTTTTTGGCAACGTTATCAAAAAAAATGTCAACGTTTAGTTTATTGCCAAACTTTGGCATGTTGATAATATTGCTAAACTTTTGGTAAGGTTTATTTTGGCTACAATCTAAACATGGCCTTCATACACCCAAGCAATTCGAGACTCATGAAATTTCTCACAATCGTTTGTAACATTCAAGATTTCAAACACCCAAGCAATTTATCTCACATCGATTGTCAAGGCTCATGGCAGTTCTCCAATTTTATCTCACATCGATTGTCAGGCTCATGGCAGTTCCCCGGTTTTATCCTCAATCAGTTTGGTTCTATATGACAATCGGTCATCTCTTCTCCTAATCTCCTGGAGCTGATCTAATCATGGGTGTTATCTAATCTTTCTATCATGAGACAGGTATTTTGTTTTTCATCGCCATAGCTTTGTTTTGGTATCTAATGGTGCATTAAAATATTTACATTATATCATCCTCTGTTTTTTAAGCTTGCTTATCAGCTTAGTTATTAAATAATATTTGTACTAGTGCTAAGTAAATCTTTTATCTTAACATTTATTGACGGACAATCGCTAACATGGAAGTACTACCTTAGTATAGTCCAACATAACGGCAGAAAAAAGGAAGCATGGTTCACTGCTTCACCCTTTTCACTCTGTATTGAAGATTCTTCTTTTAGAAAATTTGAGTGACTAATCTCTTCCTTTGCAGCACACTCATATATTAAACCTAAATGTATAACCGCATTAATTATTTGATACACATGTATTGAGATTTCTCAATTAATATATACATTACAACCTAAATTTCAAATGGTGGTTGCCTTCATTTCTAACATGTTCTTAGAATGCACATCCTTACCAGGATAGTAACTACTCCCTCCGTTTCAGGTTACAAGATATTTTGACTTTAATTAAAATCAAACTACTCTAAGTTTAACTAAATTTATAGAAAAAAATAGTAATATTTACAATACCAGCATAGTTTCATTAAATCTATAATTGAATAAATTTTCATCATATATATGTCTTGGGTTAAAAATATTATTACTATTTTCTACAGAATTAGTCAAACTTAGAGTAATTTGACTTTAACCAAGTTAAAACGTCTTATAACCTAAAACAGAGGGAGTATTTAACACGTAAATATTCCGCAGCAATACGTGGGGGTGTCATCTAGTTAATTTATATTTTGAGGTTTGCCCGTCTATAAGGGTTGGAACCCCTCTCGGCATACAAAATAAACAACGTTTCTACCGTCTATAAGTTTCTAGACATCTATTGGAATCCATCCAAATATTTCCGACATTAGAAATTTACAAATGCTGTCTCCGGCGCCGCCGCTCCTGCAGCCACACTTCAGAACTTTCTACTTGCTGTGTTTCTATTGCCTGTGGAACCATCGACATGATGTGGTCTTTTGAAACTTGCAATCTCTTCTCAACCTTTTGAGACGATGTTTAGAAGAAACAAACCTCTAGGAACACCGTTTCAAAATCCCAGAGAGAATAGCAGTCCAGTCTTGGAAAGCTATATTTTCCAATTCTATTTTCTCTTTGCATTTGTAACTGCTAGCTGCTAGCTAGCTTGAACACTTCAATTGTACCCTATTTTTCTCTTCAATGGAAATCTAGGTGGGGAACCTCTCCCCTCCGGTGATTATTAAAAAAAATTAAAACAATGTATCAGCGTATGATTCATTAAGTATTAGTTTAAAAATTTTAGAGAAAGAAATCTATCTATTATATTATTAAAACAGCTTTGAAAGGAGGCACCACATTCGCTGTGGGAGCTAGAAATTCCCACATTAATCGGAGAAAAAGAAAAAAAGAAAAAGGAGAGTCTAAGTAGAAGTACAATTTAAAAATAGCTAAAATTCGGAATTAAAAATAAGCAATATTGAAAGAAGTTTCCACATAAGAACCCAATACGAGATTAATCAAAATTCGAAATAAAAATAAAAAAAAATCTAAAACTAGAAAAGGAAAGGAGAGTCCAAGTAGAAATACAATTTAAAAATAGATGAAATTCGGAATTAAAAATAAGGAATATTAAAATAAGTTTCCATATAAGAACCCAATACGAGATAAATCAAAAATCGAAATAAAAATAAAATAAAATCTAAAATTAGAAAAGGAAATGAGAGTCCAAGTATGAATACAATTTAAAAATATCTGAAATTCGAAATTAAAAATAAGGAATGTTAAAATAAGAGTCCATATAATAACCTAATACAAGATTAATTAAAATTCGGAATAAAAATAATTCCCACATTAATCGGAGAAAAAGAGAAAAAGAAAAAAAAGGAGAGTCCAAGTAGATGTATAATTTAAAAATAACTGAAATTCAAAATTAAAAATAAGCAATATTGAAAGAAGAATCCAATACGAGATTAATTAAAAATTAGAATAAAAATAAAATAATATCTAAAACTAGAAAAACAAAAAGAGAGTTCAAATAGGAATACAATTTTGAAACAACTGAAATTGAAAATAAAAAATAAAAACATTAAAATAACACAATACGATATTAACTAATTTTTTTAAAAAAATTCTGAAATTAGAAAAAGAAAAATAAGATATCAATTAGGAATACAATTTATAAATAACTAAAATTTGTGATAAAAATAAAGATTATTGAAAGAAAAGACCATCTAAAACACATGACGAGATAAATTAACTAACATGCCTATAAAGAAGTAGAGTGGTGGCGGTTGATACGAGATATAAAAATTGTTAATAAAACATCAAATAGAATCCTAATGACGATTAAAAGGAGAGACGTCAGGCAGGCCGTGAAGCAAACGAGTAAGGCGATTGCCGGGACTTCTAGAAAGTAAAAAAAAAACAAACCCCATTGATAATCATATTCGATTTTTAAAATCTCAATGATAATAAAAAGGAGAAGCAGCAGGCGGGGTGTATAAGAGTACAGTTGCAGAGCTGCCGACGGTTAACAGGACTTCTAGAAAATAAAAAAAGAATTCTAGAATCACAATGATAATAAAGAGTTGGCGGCGGACGGGCTATAGAGGGGCATAGTGGCATCGTTTGATGGGACTTCTAAAAATTATAAAAAAATAAAACTACAAGTCCAATTTTTAAAGGTTTTGAACTTCTAAAAAGTAAAAAAAACCCAATGATAATCATGTTCAATTTTAAAATCTCAATGCCAATAAAGAAGGGAGACAGCGGGCGAGCCGTAGAGGAGTACAATAGCAAAGCCGCTGACGGTTTGGCGGGACTTCTAGAAAGTAAAAAATGAACCCAAACGATAATTATGTTCGATTTTTAAAATCTCAATGACAACAAAGAGAAAAGACAGTGGACGGGCCGTAGAGTAGTATAATGGCAACGTTTGATGGGACATCTAGAAATTATAAAAATGAAACCCAACATGACAATAAACTCTAAAAACTATAAAATCCAATTTTTAAAGGTTCCAAGAAGAATGAATGAAAATAGTGGTAGATCGAGCAAGCAAATAAATAAGGAGATGACATAAGAGTTAGCAACTGGTGTGACTTTTAAAAACTATATGATTAGAAACACGGGGATAGTAAGGTTTGGTCTTTCAAAGTCTTAAAGACAATGAAATAGCTAGATAGCTATTTAATAAATTTTAAGTAAAATAATACTTAAAAATATATGATTTTGTTTAGGTGCTAGCCGCGCAATTGCGCGGGCCACCCAGCTATTTAATATGAAATTTGTTTTAGAAAAATAAATGTACATCATTAATTGTTCGGAAAACGTTACGCATGGAAACGAGAAAGTGATACCATCTAAAACGTTGTACGATTTATGCTAATGAATACTCGAAGAAGATGATAACTTGTAACCCCCATATGGCGCCAAAGCGAACCGACGACGGCAAACTCGATCGGCTATGGGCCTATGGCAGTGGCAAGTGATAACAGGGCTGCTTTTGTCACTTGACAGGGTCACCTCCGTCCGGAATATCCGTGGATTCTGCGTCGCCAGGGCGGAGCTAGTATAGCTAAGGGGGTGTCCATGAACCCGGTTAAAAAAAATTACCTATATTTTATCTATTTTCACTATTTATATACCCCGTTAGTTTAAATTTAGACATCTGTATCAAGCTAAATTTGATTCAAATCAAAGTAAAACAAGTAAATGGAACCCCTTCGTTTTGTTCTAGCTCCGCCACTGTGCGTCACCACATATGGAGTAGGAGTAGATGGAGAAGGTTGCGTGCTGCTTCGACCTCCTCAAACTCAAAGCTCACGACGAAGCTGACCGCGGCAAAGGCGGATGACGATGAGGCCCGAGCAGCAGCGGCCTCCATCTGGACATGTTCCGTGGCTCGCTCTGCCACCGCATACTCTCGTTTACTAACGCTTTATTTAGTCCTTTAAATTCTTTTATAAGGTTTTTTAAAAAATAATTAAATTTATAAAAATATAGTAATATGTACAAAATTAAATTAATCTTATTAAATATACCATTGAATATATTTTTGATAAAATATTTGTTTTGTATTAAAATATTGATATATTTTTTCTATAAACTTAATCACACTGTAAAATAATTAAAATAACTTATAATATAAAATGGAAGGAGTAGTATTTTTTTTCTGATTTACTAGTGATAAATCCCTGGCCATAATAACTTTCTATTAAAAATGCATCATTGTTACGTAATATTAATAGAAATCAGGATTAATTTAAAGCTTGGTGAGTCATATACCACGACTCCATTACCGTTTATGTTTGTACTTTCTATCTAAGTTTTAATTTTCATTTGTGATAAAAAAATAATTTTCATTTGACAAAATGTAACTCATCTGCTTTGAACAGAAGACAGCAGCATAAGCCTCTAAACGTGGAAACAAATGAAAATATTAAATTCCATTGACGGGAGACCAGAAATTAGCTCTCCGCCTCTCCCTCCGTCCTTGAAGTTCTACAGCTCAAGTTTTGTTTTAAAATGAAGCTAGATCACCTAATTAGCTTCATTTTAAAACAGAACTTAAGCGGTATAACTACGATTAATTAGGGGATTGTGATTGGCCGAGAAGAGAAGAGGAAGTAGGTGAAGAAAATGAGTGAAAAATGGTTATAATTGGTTGCATGATCCGCTCACCATTAGTCGTAGTTGCTGAACCGACTTTACCAATCATTGACCAATATTTCCGATCAAAACCGAAGTCGCTACACATGTAGCAACCAATATCCAATTGCAAACAACAAATATCAAGCAGTAACAATGTGCAGTCACCAGCAAGGACGAAGTGCTACTGTGCTAGCCTCCTTGATTCGCCACCACCAAGCGAATGGGAGAAACCATCCCTGCTACTACCGCAGCCAATGGCTGCGGCGGCAATGGAGGCGGAGTAGATAAGGTGAAGACGATGATGGATAGGCCAGGTTGGGGGTCAGCGGCCCATGAGGTTCGGAAGTTTTTATGTTCGATTAGTATCGATAGACATGACTCCATAGAACTTATATGTACACCCTCCTAGTCCTCTATCTCCTTTCTCCAGCCAAAACTGAGCCCTGGTCCAAGTATAGATGGCCATATGATCTGAGGCCCATGGCTTGGCCCAAGCACGGCACAGCCCGACTAGGGTCGTACCGTGTCAGCCTGGCCCGACAGCCGGACCGAGCCTGGGCTGCACCCTCGAAACGGTGGGCCGGCCGGCACGGCATGATCGAAGAAAAATAGTAGAGGAATCCAAAATAGACTTAAATAACCATATAAGGCAAGGCCCAAAGACAAGAGGAGTATAAAACAGACTTATTTTTCAGCCATTATGGACATAGCCACAGAGTCGAGGGATGAGAAATAGACTAATTCTGTGGAGAAGCACGATGGACCCGAGTCGTATTGGACCGTGTGTGTAGCCCGTGGGCTGGCACGACACGGCCCGGCGTGTAGGTCAGGCCGTGCGGGCCCGAAAAGGCTCGAAAACCTCGGCCCAGACACTGCCGGGCCTAGGCCGTGCTGTGCCAGACGGCCCATTTGGCCATCTATGGGCCCAAGCAAGCCAGTTCAACCAGAGCCTCCCTCCACACATCAGTTGTGCCCTCCTCATTTGCTGGTTTATCAACTAGTATCAAATTTGAATTTTAAAGCTTAGTTTTAGAGTTAATGTGGATTTTTTATCATATTCTTTTTTACCTTAGTTTTTAATTTTTTTATACCCTAGATAAAGTAGACTAACAAATATTTACTCATAAATTATTTTTGATGCTTGCTCGTTTTTTTCCTGCACTCATAACACAACTGATCACTACTTCGGGTGCAAAGTTGTAAACTCAACTAATTACCGTAAGAGGGTCAGGGTTTCAATCATTTAGGTGGACGTCCACTCATTTATTGCCGTTCTACTATCTTACTGATGGATCGGCTGTGGGAAGAGGTGCTCAATTCACAATCAGCCTTTCCCTTTTTCAGATCAGTCCGCGTCCACCGAAGAAATCGCGGCAAACTCGGCAAACTTTTGACGTTTACCGGACAGGCAAAGCTACCATCACTTCGTTGTCGTTGCTGTATATCCACGACCACGTCAAAACTGATCCCATGGCGCCAAACTGAACACCGTGTCGATCTCCGACCTCGTCGTCGCCGCGACAAAAACCGCTTTGATCATCACCTCGTCGTCGACGCACCTCCACCGCATATGTAGCAGTAGACAAGTAGCATCTGCATCTGCGTGCCATACACGATTGCTCCAGCTAGCTGCACCTGCACATCGCCATGGCCATGGCCGACCTGGAGTTGGAGAAGGTTGCGAGCTTCTTGCTGGCGGCGCTGCTGCCGCTCGTGCTCTTCAAGCTGGCGGCGGCGAAGCGCGGTGGTGGCGATGGCGGCATGAGGCTGCCGCCTGGGCCGTGGCGGCTGCCGGTGATCGGCAACCTGCACCAGATCATGGCGGGTGGCCAGCTCGTGCACCGCACCATGGCCGGCCTGGCGAGGGGGCTCGGCGACGCGCCGCTGCTGTCGCTCAGGCTCGGCGAGGTCCCCATCGTCGTGGCCTCGTCGGCCGACGCCGCGAGGGAGATCATGAGCAGGCACGACGCCAAGTTCGCCACACGGCCGTGGAGCCCCACCGTGCGGGTCCAGATGGTCGACGGCGAGGGCCTCGCGTTCGCGCCCTACGGCGCGCTGTGGCGGCAGCTGCGCAAGATCACCATGGTGGAGCTGCTCAGCCCGCGCCGCGTCAGGTCGTTCCGCCGCGTGCGGGAGGAGGAGGTCGGCCGCCTCGTCGTCGCCGTCGCCACGGCGGCGACGCGGCGGCCCGGCGAGGCCGCCGTGAACGTCGGCGAGCGGCTCACCGTGCTGATCACCGACATCGCGGTGCGCACGATCATCGGCGACCGGTTCGAGCGGCGGGAGGATTTCCTCGACGCCGCCGCCGAGTGGGTCAAGATCATGTCCGGGTTCAGCCTCGGCGACCTGTTCCCGTCGTCGAGGCTGGCCAGCTTCGTCAGCGGCACGGTGCGCCGGGCGGAGGCGAACCACCGCAAGAACTTCGAGCTGATGGATTACGCTCTCAAGCAGCATGAGGAGAAGAGGGCAGCTGCTGCAGCTGCCGGCGCCGGCGCCGTGGAAGACGATGAGGACATCGTCGACGTGCTTCTCAGGATTCAGAAGGAAGGGGGCCTCGAAGTGCCCCTCACCATGGGCGTCATCAAAGGCGTCATTCGTGTAAGCAAGTATACATTCTTGGTCATGTTCTATCTGTGTGATAATGTTAGTATTATATTAGAATATAAAATTCATGCTAAATGGTAGTAAGAAATAAATTTACATGTACAAGAATATAAAATGGATGGTAACTAGTAAGAGTTAAATGACATTAACATATATTGCAAGTCTTTAATTGCACCTCTACTACTTGTTTTATGCAACATGACTTCATGAAAGTTTCAAAATTTTCCCCTGCATTCTATAGGACCTTTTTGGTGCCGGGAGTGAGACATCAGCTAATACACTCCAATGGACTATGTCCGAGCTCGTGAGGAACCCAAGAGTGATGCAAAAGGCACAAACTGAGCTACGTGATTGTCTTCGAGGAAAGCAATCGGTGTCAGAAGATGATTTGATCGGATTGAAATACTTGAAGCTTGTCATCAAGGAAACCCTAAGGCTGCATCCTGTAGTGCCACTGCTTCTTCCGAGAGAATGTCAAGAGACATGTAACATTATGGGGTACGACGTGCCCAAGGGTACAAACGTGCTCGTGAACGTCTGGGCAATATGCAGAGATCCTAGGCATTGGGAAAATGCTGAGACATTCATACCAGAGCGATTTGAGGATAGCACCGTAGACTTTAAAGGCACAGACTTTGAGTTCATACCATTTGGAGCAGGACGAAGGATGTGCCCTGGTTTGGCATTTGCGCAGGTTAGCATGGAGCTTGCTCTAGCCTCATTGCTATATCATTTCGACTGGGAACTCCCTAGTGGTGTTGCGCCAAGCAATCTAGACATGGAAGAGGAGATGGGTATCACCATCCGAAGGAAGAATGATCTTTACCTGGTTCCAAAGGTCCGTGTGCCTCTATAGTTTGGCTCGTAACTGCTTCACACAATATGTGTCTCCTGTGACCCGTACCTGCCAAGTAGCGATCATGAGCATTCCATTGTGTTTCATGCCCTTATGGTGTTATGCTGCTCAACTTTTTTAATGTTTTCTCGAAATAAGTACCATCATAGTTGTTCATGTAACTATAAATTACGAGTTTAATTTGTGTCGTAGTTAACAAGCTCGAGTTGTTTGTGTTGTTTTCCCTTTGCTAAAATGCTAAAACATTCATTGGAGAGGGAGAGAGTGGTGTAAGCTAGTCCTAAAGAAAATTAAGAACACCAAACTCCTAAGGTACAATAGACAATTCAGTAATTAGTAGTTGAGTTTTGAACTATGATGGGTTCAATACTAACATTCTTAAAAGTAGAATTGAAAAAAATATGTCATATTTCAAAATCTTCGCACTTCCAACCGGAATGGAAAGCAAATTGAATTGACTCCACCATTGATTTTTTTCTTAAAAGAAAAGATTAACTCCTCCATGGTCACAACGTATGCCTTGCAAATCGCAAGAAAAAAAAAAGGAAGAATTAAAAAATCTGCAAGACAAAATGGCAATACATAGGTTGGTGGAGAGGATGCAGAAATTGGAAATGTTGCAAGCAGAAGAAATTTGAACATGGAAAAAGAATAAGGAACAAAAAATGTTGAAAAACTTGAGAAGAAACATTAAAGCCAAAGTGAAAAGGTTGAATTAATCCTAGGGGAAAAAGGAGAGGGTATATACCTGGAAATTGAAATAAAGGGATGAAAAATGTTTGGATGGACAAAACATGGAAATAAATAGAAAAGAGACTGCCTATCGAATGTACATTCAAGAGAATTTCTCTCACAAATCTGTCAAATGTAACTACATAATTGTAATGAAATTACAACATAACTAGTATATAACTACACAATTCGAATGTAAGTCGGATGTAATTCATAACCGACACCGTGGCTTGAAATGGAAGGGCCATGCATTTAAGTCTAGGGTTGTGGGATCAACTCACATCAGCTACTCGCTTGTTTCTCGCATGGAGCACAAATCTTGACACGCATCCAGTGGCAAAAAATTGACAGATTTTCCCTCAATTTTCTGTTGAATGTGGTACAACAGATCCTAATTGAAAAAAGAAGATATTTGTGTTGGAAAAAAACCATCAAAATAGCCACAAGACACAGAGAGTAGCAAGGGTCCAGCCTAAAATCAATTGCCTCTCTCATAACTGCCACTCTGCCAGCTGGGCTCAATTCATCGTTTTCACAGTTTGAGATCACTCATTTACTCCATTCGGTTTCATTTTAATTGACATTTTGGACAATGACACGGATTACAAAATATATCTTTGATCTTATTTTTCTACTATAATATATACAATAAATAAATGCATGTTTACTTTTATTATAGTGCTTTGAAAGACAAATCTATATATGTTGTTCTAGTTTGTTTAAAGTAAATATTTTTAAAGTTATTAATGGTCAAAGTTATAAAAGTTTAACCTAACCTTGTCTAAAACATCAATTATTATAGAACCGGAGAGAGTATCTTTTTCATTGATTTTCCCGACACCAAAATTCTAAAAAAGTCAAGCAAAGCCAGTGGCCACCGCTGAACTCAAAATAGACGTTATTACATAATCTGATAATCATCATGCATCCATCTATCTCTTGCAGCCATGCATGCATCAGCTCTCTTTGGAAGTTCATCCCTAGCAATTACTCCCATGGCGACAAAATCCAACTCACCATGACAAAGCTGCTTCTGTCACTTGCCACCTAGTAGTAAACAGTAACACCTCTGCATATATGTATCTGCATCTGCGTGCTGTGTGTGCCATGGCCATGGATGGCATGGAGAAGGTGGCGTGGTGCGCTTGCTTCCTCTTCCTGGCTCTTATGGTGGTTAGGTTGAGGACGAAGCGGCGTGGCGACAATAATGGCGGGGTGAAGTTGCCGCCTGGGCCGTGGCGGCTGCCGCTCGTCGGCAACCTCCACCAGGTCATGGCGCGCGGCCCGCTCGTGCACCGCACCATGGCCGACCTGGCGCGCCGGCTCGACGCGCCGCTCATGTCGCTCAGGCTCGGCGAGGTCCCCGTCGTCGTCGCCTCGTCCGCCGACGCCGCCAGGGAGATCACCAAGACGCACGACGTCGCGTTCGCGACGCGGCCGTGGAGCTCCACCATCCGGGTCATGATGAGCGACGGCGTCGGGCTGGTGTTCGCGCCCTACGGCGCGCTGTGGCGGCAGCTCCGCAAGATCGCCATGGTGGAGCTCCTCAGCGCCCGCCGCGTCCAGTCGTTCCGCCGCATCCGGGAGGACGAGGTCGGCCGCCTCGTCGCCGCCGTCGCGGCGGCGCAGCCCGGCGAGGCCGTGAACGTCAGCGAGCGGATCGCGGCGCTCGTCTCCGACGCCGCGGTGCGCACCATCATTGGTGACCGGTTCGAGAGGCGGGACGAATTCCTGGAGGGCCTTGCCGAGGGGATCAAGATCACATCCGGGTTCAGCCTCGGCGACCTGTTCCCATCGTCGAGGCTGGCCAGCTTCATCGGCGGCACGACGCGGCGGGCAGAGGCGAACCACCGCAAGAACTTCGAGCTGATGGAATGCGCTCTCAAGCAGCATGAGGAGAAGAGGGCAGCTGCTGCAGCTGCCGCCGCCGGCGCTGTGGAAGACGATGAGGACATCGTCGACGTGCTTCTCAGGATTCAGAAGGAAGGGAGCCTCCAAGTGCCCCTCACCATGGGCAATATCAAAGCTGTCGTCCTTGTAAGTACTCTAGTTGTTCTCCCTTTTTTTTTCTTTTCCTGTGGATGCTAATACTATATCTCCCTTAATTTCGATAGGATTTATTTTATTTTTTAAAAAATCTTTAATACCAAACTATAAATTTATTTGGTCACAAAAATATAACTTAATAGCTACTCCCCCTTTCGCAAATATAAAGTATTTTGGCCATCTCCAATTGTCAATAGATATTAGGGATTTTGAACTACTATGGACATGTTTTAATTGCACCTAGCACCTATCACTTAATTTTGTTCCTTTCTTATCCCCCAACCACCATGAAATCATCTTCGCTTATTTAATAGAGGATATCATTGTCTTGTTTTCATCCTTAATCTCGCTAAAAAAACATAGCATCCATTATGATGGAGTAAGACACAACTTTAAAATATAAATCCACTACCGCAACAATACATCTAGTTTAACTACTGTTTAGGTCAGAATATATAAAATTTACCTTTAAAGAATAACTTATACGGATAAATGGAGCGAGTACATGAATTTCCTTTTTATAAAAAAGTATGCATAGTGAACATAGGAAGGAATTGATACAATATTTTCTACACTTTATGGGAAATCATGTATTTTTTACCATGCATATAGGACCTTTTTGGTGCTGGCAGCGAGACATCGGCAAATACGCTTCAATGAGCGATGGCTGAGCTCATAATGAATCCAAGAACAATGCTGAAGGCACAAGCAGAGTTACGTGATGCCCTCCAAGGAAAGCAAATAGTGTCAGAATATGACTTGGTTAAATTGAAGTATTTGAAACTTATTATCAAGGAGACCTTAAGGTTACATCCTGTGGTGCCACTACTTCTCCCTAGGGAGGGAATGTCAGGAGACATGTAAGGTCATGGACTACGATGTCCCCATAGGTACTATTGTGCTTGTGAACATGTGGGTAATCGGTAGAGACCCTAAATATTGGGAGGACGCTAAGACATTTAGACCCGAGCGATTTGAGGATGGCCATATAGATTTTAAAGGAATGAACTTTGAATATTTACCTTTTGGAGCAGGGCGAAGGATGTGCCCTGGTGTGGCATTTGCAGAAGCAATTATGGAGCTCGCTCTAGCCTCATTGCTCTATCACTTTGATTGGGAGTTCCCCGATGGCATCTCGCCGGCCAAGATGGATATGATGGAGGTGATGGGTTCTACCGTGCGAAAGAAGAATGATCTTTACCTTGTTCCAAATGCCCATGTGCCGGTTGCCCCATAGTTGTTCACACATTCGTACTTGTTCATCTTGCAACCTCTGTAATAACTGATGTAACTTCTTTGGAGTAAAGCCAAAATGAATTCAATTATAAAAAAAAAAGAGTTCGAAATTGTTGCTGCGCTCCTCTAGGGCGCCCCTAATGCGCGACAAGTCGCGCAGTCACACGAGCGCGTGACCACCAGGTCCACTACTACTACTCATAGTCATACACTACTACTACTACAGTACTACTACGTGTATATATGCATATGTATATATCTTGTATACATACATATAAACTTTGTATTATTGTATACATACGTATAATTTTTATATTAATAATACAAAGTTTATACGTATATATATAAAGTATATATATACATGTATATATAATTTTTATGTGTACCAAAAAATCAACGTATAAAAAATATACACATATACCAACTTTGCATACGCGTATACAAACTTTGTATATGTACATGTTAAAAACCGTGAGAAAAAAATATGAATACAAATAAGTTTGTATACATATGAATACAAACTTGGTATACACACGAATACAAACTTTGCAATATGTACATCTTAAAAAAAAGGGAAAAACCAAAAACAGAAGAGAAACGAAAAAACAAAAAAGAACAGAAGAGAAACGAAAGAAACCAAAAAAAGGGAAAAATCGCACCTCCGTCATGGCGCGCCGTCCGCCGCCCTCTCCACGCGCGACACATGTCCAGTCGCGCGGGAGAGACTGGCTGCCCATTAGCTTTTTCGGCTCCTCTGTCTCCTTTCCCCACTCAAGTCGAGCCCTGGGCCTCGGCCGAAGTATGCTAGAGTCCAGACCTATCTCACTCTAAACATCCTGGACCAGTTGTCATTCAGTTTTTATCATTTGTTGGTTTGTTTACTAGCTGCAATCAAAATCTGAAATTTAAAATTTAGTTTTACAATTAATTTGGGGTTTTTACATCATAATCTATTTTTAAAACTTTATATTGGTATTTAGAAGCCTAATAATATAGATGTAAATTTTATTTTTAAGTTCTTCAGTCGTAATTCAACCTATCACTCTGAGGTCCCGTTTGGATCATTTCGTCCCTGGACTAAAATTAGTCCCTAGACTAAAAACTTTAGTCCCCTACTGTTTGGATCTAGGGACTAAAAGGGAAGTCACGTGGACCGAGGGAGAGAGAGAAGAGAGAGGCTATCACTTTAGTTCCTATAAGTACCTCTAAGGACATTCCCAAATCCCAACCCATGGTGTCCATAACTAGTGTCTATGGTGTCATGTCAACAAGACATCACAATAAAAACTACACTCTACAACCCATGGTTTCTTAAAGTGGGCCATTAATAAATACATCATCTCTCTTCTCCACCAATCATATTTATTCTTCATTTATTATGAAGACACTATTCTCTCCCAATGCAAAACTTGATAGTGTCTAGTGCATAGATTCTCGTGTTGAAGCTGTGTCTTGCATGAGACTCAGTTTCTTCCTCTCTTCACTCTCTCTCTCTTAATTAATATAGTGTCATATAAGCTAAAAGTCCTACGTGGCAATGTAGTTAATGCCATAGACACCATCCTAGATGGAGGGTTGGGACTGCCCTAAGAGGGACTAATGGATTTTAGTCAAATATGCACTTTTTAATTCCTTTTTAGTCACCCATGTTTGGATTCTTAGGGACTAAAAGGGAGGGACTAATGGATTAGTCCCATGAACCAAACAGGGACTGAATCTTCCAAAAGAGTGGTGCAAGGTTGGAAACTCCCTCTGTCCTAAAAACTATTCTTTTGGCCTTTTTTTTTCTCAAAAACACCATTGTTTCAAAATGGGGTGAATTAAACCTTTTTGATACTATTTTATTATTTTGTTATCCTTTTAGCCATGAAAAGTAATACTACCCGTTTTCTCTCTCTTCTCGTTTTCTATCTGCGTTAACGATTAAACATAGAGTAAATTTCCTGTGTACCCCTGAAAACTCACTCAATCCCTTTCATACCCTTGAAATTTACCCGATCCCTTCTATACCCCTGAAATTTCAATTTGATCCCTTCCATGCCCCTACCGTTACATTTTCCATCATTTCACTGTTACGTTTGGTTGCAAATGTCCTTTTTGCCCTTGATGATTTAGGTTTAAATATAAGCTTCAAAAACAATTAAAAATTTTGTTTGAGTGTACAGTATGTGCATTTTATAAAACTAAAGAGACTAAATAATTAGTGCATAAAATTTTGACATAAATTTTGAAAATAAAATAAATGCAATAAATTAAAATTTTTATTTGAAATTTTAATAGGACAATGGATTTTTTTATCGGGAGCATTCATTAAAAGAATGTTGTGAACATTGGTAGTTCTATTTTTATATGAATGCTCCTCACTTTTATGACTTTTTTTTTAAAAAATAAATATGTATTTTTTTATTTCATTATCTATCAATATTTTTTGGGATAAATAATGCATCGAACAACAAACTCATAACTATAATAGTCTTATGCAAGAAGCTTTTATATTTTTAATAATGTAATTCATGAATTTCTTTGTTCATCCAAGGGTAAAATGGTCATTTTTATAGAAAATAGACGGTCAACTAACGGTGAACTGACGGGAGGGGTATGGAAGGGATCAGAATTAAAAGGAAGTAAGTAAAATTTAGGGGTATAGAAGGGATTAGGTAAAATTTGAGGGGTATACAAGGGATTTTCTCTTAAACATATAGTAGTATTTTGATCTCCTGCTTATCATGGCTTTAACTAGCTAAAGCTAATGTGAAACAAGAGTCTTTTAGAGCCAGGAGTAATGGCCATCCTACTTGGAAGGCCAAAACATGACCAAAAAAAAAATCAAAAAATGAAGATCTTTTTGTTAGGAAAAAGTAACATAACAAAAGCCACGAGATAAATAAGCAAACGTCCAGCCTCTCTCAAACCTGCCAGCTGGTGTCAATTAATCTTTTCCCCTTTTGTGATCGCCCATTTATCATTTTTATTTATTTTCCAGCCACTAAAATTCTCGTAAGCATAGCCAGCGCCCAGCGACCACCGCTGAAGTCAATTAATTACAAAATCGGACGACCTTAATTAGAGTACATCATCATGCATCCACCTAGCATCCATCTCTTGCAGCCATGCATTGCATCAGCTATCTTTGGAATTTCATAATTAGCAATTAGTAAGCAGAGATTTACTCCCATGGCGACAAAAATCCAACAAAGCTGCTTCTGTCACTTGCCACCTAGTAGTAATTAACAGTAACACCTCTGCATATATCTATCTGCACCTGGACGCGAGCGTCTGGCTTAGAGTAGCACTCGATCGATCTGTGTTGCCATGGCCATGGATGGCATGGAGAAGGTGGCGTGGTGCGCTTGCTTCCTCTTGCTGGCTCTCATGGTGGTCAGGTTGACGGCGAAGCGGCGTGGCGACAATGGCGCGGAGAGGCTGCCGCCTGGGCCGTGGCGGCTGCCGCTCGTCGGCAACCTCCACCAGGTCATGGCGCGCGGCCCGCTCGTGCACCGCACCATGGCCGACCTGGCGCGCCGGCTCGACGCGCCGCTCATGTCGCTCAGGCTCGGCGAGGTCCCCGTCGTTGTCGCCTCGTCCGCCGACGCCGCCAGGGAGATCATGAGGACGCACGACGTCGCGTTCGCAACGCGGCCGTGGAACCCGACCACGCGGCGGCTGCGGTGCGACGGCGAGGGCGTGGTGTTCGCGACGTACGGCGCGCTGTGGCGCCAGCTCCGCAAGCTGTGCGTCGTCGAGCTGCTCGGCGCGCGGCGCGTCCGGTCGTTCCGCCGCGTCCGCGAGGAGGAGGCGCGCCGCCTCGTCGCCGCCGTCGCCGCGTCCCCGCGCGGCGAGGCCGTGAACGTCAGCGAGCGGATCACGGCGGTGATCACGGACGCGACGATGCGGGCCATGATCGGGGACAGGTTCGGGCGGCGCGACGAGTTCCTGGAGCTGCTCGCCGACATCGTCAAGATCGGCTCCGGGTTCAGCCTCGACGACCTGTTCCCGTCGTGGCGTCTCGCCGGCGCCATCGGCGGCATGGCGCGCCGCGCCGAGGCGAACCACCGGAGGACCTACGAGCTGATGGACAGCGTGTTCCAGCAGCACGAACAGCGGAGGGTTCACGTTGCTGCGCCGGCTGACGGCGCCATGGACGACGCGGAGGAGGACCTCGTTGACGTGCTCTTCAGGATACAGAAAGATGGTGGCCTCGAGGTGCCTCTCACCATTGGCAACATCAAAGCAATCATCCTGGTAAATGCTACTACTTCTGCTGCTCTGATTTATGAAGAACACACATTAATTCATAGTGTTTTAGTTTACATATAGAAAATAGATTTACATATGGAAGTCATCTATTTCTACATTATTATTTGCAGAAGAGTAATTCATTTTTATAGAAGAGTTTGTTAGTCTTTTTTTTTAAGAATGTCTATTGCTTAGTTGAGGTTGCATCTTGTTATTTCATTTTTCTAGAAGTGTTAGCTAGTCTTTTTTTTTTCTAAGAATGTCTATTGATTAGTTCAGGTTGCATCTTCTTATTTCATTTTTCTAGAAGTGTTTGTTATTTCTTTTTTTTCTAAGAATGTCTATTGATTAGTTCAGGTTGCATCTTGTTATTCCACAGGACCTCTTCAATGCAGGGAGTGAGACATCAGCAAATACGCTCCAGTGGGTTATGTCAGAGCTAATGAGGAACCCAAAAGTGATGAGAAAGGCACAAGCAGAGTTAAGGAACAACCTACAAGGGAAGACAACGGTAACCGAAGACGATCTCACAAATCTAAAGTACCTGAAGCTTGTCATCAAGGAGACGCTTAGGTTACATCCCGTGCTGCCCTTACTTCTCCCAAGAGAGTGCCGAGAAGCATGCAATGTCATCGGATACGACGTCCCGAAATACACTACCGTTTTTATAAACGTGTGAGCAATCAACAGGGACCCCAAATATTGGGACATGGCCGAGATGTTTAAGCCAGAACGCTTTGACAATAGCATGATTGACTTCAAAGGTACAGACTTCGAGTTCGTGCCATTTGGGGCTGGAAGAAGGATCTGTCCTGGCATAGCATTTGCACAGTCCAATATGGAGCTTGTGCTTGCTACACTCCTATACTACTTTGACTGGGAGCTTCCTAGTGGTATGTCGCCTGAAGAGTTAGATATGACTGAGGACATGGGACTATCTGTCCGAAGGAAGAATGATCTTTACCTACATCCAACAGTTTGTGTGCCTCTGTAGGCCGTAGTCTCTTTTGAAGTGTTTGTATGACAAGTCATGCATTATGATGTGCCCAATGACTTAATAAATTTGTTGCTTGAATCAATACTTTCGTATATTTTTCGAAACATTTGAAATTTAGCCAAGAGGCGAACAATACATGTTATTCAAACCTGACTTAGTAATAGGAAATCCACACTATCTAAATGATCTACCTCGTCCACTCACATATGTGCTAGTCTGCTAGTAGGGGGCATGGCATGTGATTGTTGAATTTCTAATAATCTAAGAATAGATTGTCCTTCTTTTTATCCTAGAATATATTGTCCTTGATTGTGAGCATCATTTTAATTCATGGAAATGCTGGCTAGAAAAGAAATGTAAGGAGAGGGAGAGGTGGGTGGATCCCACATCTGGAGAAGAATATAATAATATCAATGTGAAACACTTGTGATAATTAGTGTAGTAGAGAAAGTCGAGATCAACCATGTACCTTACCTACCATAACATGGTATGGACAAAGGGACAAGGTTGTCTCAACTACTAAACATATCGGACCTAGTTACCTAGTGTGCTAGGTATACAAAATGATGGAGGTTCGTGTTTTTCTTTTAAAACTGTAGGATGATTATGTTGCTCGGAGTGTTACCTAAGTTTAAAATATATTGGAATTGAATTTAGTGTCCATAACGGACCTCCCGCTATGGTTGTCTCCAGATGAGCACGACAGGAATTAGCCGAATCTATTGTCTAGGCTCATAAAAAGTTAATCGTCAAAAAAAGGCTCATAAAAAATTTAAAATTTAATATGTCACTGACAAGAAGCAATTATGACATTTCATAATACTATTCTGATATATGAACCCCATAAAACTCATAATAATAGGTATTCTCATGCAACTTGTAGGGTCAATATCGTGCCTCGGTAATGCCTCATGTGTCATGTAATAATATACTAGACACCATATGTTAAAGTGTATCTTCATATCTTCTACTACTAGGTATATCCCCACAATACCTTATTACCTTCATAAGATATTCATACAAATAATAATTGATTGTCTCCCTATCTTAATTCTCTTATATTTTGAGACTGAGAAAGTATCTAATTAATGTGCCGGATCCCAGATATCTATATGTAACGCTCCGCTTTTCGTGAGACGTTAAAAACTAATTTGGCAAAATCCTAATTGCGAAAATTTCGTTCTTTGAGTGTTGAGTCTAAGTTGTGCCAAAGATCTCCATTTAAATCCCTCCCTTGTCTCGATACCCTGTTATCAAAGATCGTCTCCTCAAAATTACCATCCCAATGTAGTCCCGAAGCTCGATTCCTTCTATTCGAAATCCCCTCCTGGAACCCCATCCGTGAACTTTGTCGAATGCCCGAATCCTAACTCCGTCCAAGGATTCACCTTCGCGTCATAAGCTCTCTCCTTGGTTCCTTCAAACCGATTCTCAAATTCGAATTCAACCTCTCAGGTTTTGATTCATCTATCTTTCTCCCTGTATTGGTTCATCAATCTACCCTTGTTTTCTTTCTCGAACTTCTGACCCAAGTCTGAATATGCAAATCGAGATCACTTCCACCCTTGAACTCAAAATCCCAAGATTCAATCCCTTTCGCCCTGAGTTCTCCCCAAAATGATTTCCGTTCCGAAATAATCTCAAAGTCCGAACCCTTCTATTCAGACTTCTCTCCAAAATCCTTACCCACATATCTCGTTGAGTAGTCAAACTCAAACTCTCAAGTTACACTCTCTTTCTCTAAATTATCCATCCCCTTTTCACTCGTCTCCGAATATTGTTCCCTTCCTTGACTCCTTCCTATTCTCCCGAGACCGAGTATCAACCTCGAAATTCGAATCCAGACTCCAACTCTAAAACCTCCCAATTAAATCTCTCTGTGAAAGTCTATTTAACCTCCCTCATAGGTTGGATTCCTTCATCCTTTTTCCGGTCCACCTCTTCCTTCTCTTCCATCCCATCTCTCTCTGAATCTCGATCTATCTATCTATCGATCGATCCATCTATCTATCTACTATGGCCCCGTTTGGTAGAGCTCCTAACTCCAACTCCCAACTCCAAACTCCAACTCCAGTGAGAGCTAGCTCCTCTAGGAGCTGAGGTAGGTAAAAAAGTGTTTGGCTAGATTACTCAGCTCCACATTTCTACATCCTTTGTCGCCATTTCATCGAACACCTTCTAGGCGTCGCCTTGACGTTGCCGCCGCAGCCGGTCAGCCCACGAGCCACCGCCGCCGGGAAGCCCACGCATCTCCGCCGCCTCCCAAGCCGCTGCGCAAGCGCCGCCGCACAGGCCGCCGCCGTCGCCCAGGCTGCCTCCTGCCGAAGCCCCCGCACGCGAGTCGCCTACCGACGCCGCTGCCGCGTGCCGCCCGTCGCGGCCACCGCAACACCGCCCGCAGCCGCCGCCACCGCCTGCCGCCGCCGATGCGCCGTGGCCTGCTGTCCCCGTATGCTGCCAACGCAGACGCCGCCACAACTGGTTGTGGCCGTCGTCGGAGGATGGGGAAGAAGATGGGCCGCCGCCACCTGCTGGCCCCGCCGCCGCGCCGCCCGTCCTCGTCCCCCAACAGCCGCTCTCCGCCGCTACCGCAGCCCCCCGCCGCCAGCCTCCGGCCACGCGTGGGCGCCGCCCGTCGTCGTCCCGCAGCCGCCGCCGCCCGCCGCTGTCACTGCCCGTCGCCGTCGACGCTGCTGCAGCCCGCCGATGCCGCCGCACTAGCTCGGGATTGGGAGGAAGATTGGGGGAGGAGAGAGAACGGGAGGAAAGAAGGGGTGAAAGGGTAGTTGAGTGGCATTTTCGTGTAAATACACTAAAATATTAGAGGGTAGTGGGTCTTTTGGGGTGGAGTGGAGCTGTGGAGCAGCAAAAACCCAGCTCCACCCCCGTAGTTCATTTTCTAGGAGTAGCTCTGCCAACTCCACTCCAAAAAAAGATGAATCTGGACCGTTTGGCACAGCTCCCGCTCCAGGTAAGTTGGAGTTGGGAGCTAGAGTTGTGCCAAACAGGGCCTATACCTATCTATCTGTTTATCTATCCATCTGTCAATCCATCTGTCTATCCGTCCCTCTACCTATCAACCTACCTTTCTGTCTATCTATCTATCCATGGCATTCTACCGCTATCTCCCTTGTTCCATTTTTGAATAATGATCTTCCCTTTTTGAAATCCTCTGAAATAATCCTTCATGCCGCCAAATACAAATCCATCCCAAAAATACCAAAATTCCCGCTTTTGAAGCCCTTCCTTGACCCCTCCCTTGGATCCACCTTGAACCCTCGTGTACAAATATACAAATTGAATTCAAATTCAATCTCCACATCAAACTTCTCTCCAAAACAAACCTTCCGGTAAAAGTCTATTTTACCTCCCTCGTGATGATTTGGGCCGAAACCTGCCGCTGGCCCATCTCTCCCCAGCTCCCTCCATCTCCACGTGCGCCGCACATGACCACCGAAAGAGAGAGCGCTGTCTCTCTCCCTTCCCTCTCTCGAACGTTCTCTCTCTCTCTCCCTCGCCGCCCCCAAACCGCTCGCCGCCGTTTGAATCCGCTCGCCGTTTCCCGTGCGCTCGCGCGCGTGGCCGACCGTCTGGGAGACGCCATCGCCACCCTCGGTCGTCGCCTGCTCCGACGACCACCGCGTGTCCGTGCTCACCTCCAAACAGTCCCCGTCCTTTTGCAGTCGTCGCCGGCGTCATCCTGTCGAGCCCTGCGCCCCACGCCGCGTGCGTCCAAAGCCGCGAGGCACAGCTCGTGCTCCCGCCCCCTCTCCTCCCAAAAACGGAAGGGACATGCCTCCCTTTTCACCGTCCCCCTCCCCTTTTTCCCTTCTGGGCTGGGTCTCTCTCTCTCCCGCCCATGTCTCCTTGCGCCCGGAGGCAGAGCACCATGACGCAGACGCCAGTGGCCAGCTCGCCGCCCCCACCTTGACCGCTCCACGCTGCCAGCCCGCGCTCGCGTTTCAAATTTCGCCGTCCGATCCACCGCCTTCGCCGCCCAACGCATCCACGCCATCGCCGCTTTCGCACTGCCCACGAAACCGCCGCTGCCGCCCGTGAACACCAGCCGAGCTCCCTTGACCGCCAATGTCGGTTTCCCTCCTCCAAACCGACCTCTCCTCCTCGCCTATAAAGCCCGCGCCCTCCCCTCTCGTTTCGTCTTCGCCTCGCTCGAAACACCCGCGCCATTGTTGCCGGCCGCCAGCTGCTCGCCCCCGTCTCGCCGTCGCACGGTCCGTCCTCTGCCGCCTCCTCCCTCAACCTCGGTCACCGTCGCGCGGCCAACCCCGGAGCATCGCCGCCTTCTTGGTCGCCGCGGCCAAGAACGCCACCGCCGCGACCAAGGGCGCCACCGCACGCCTCCGTTGCCTTCCCCGGCACGCCCGCCGTGACACGATGCCGCCTCGGCATCGCGTTCGTCGCCCTGCGCCGCTGCTCGTCCATGCGCCGCCATCGGCCTTCCCATCCTCAACTCGCCGCCGACGCCGTTACCTCCCGTCGGTGAGCTCCCTACCTCTCTTTTCCTCTGTCCCAGCACTCGCGTAGCTCGCGTCGCGCGTGCTCTGTTTCCGCCACCGTGCGCAATCGAGAGCCACCGTTGGCCTCCCTCTCGGCGACTCCTCTAGCCACCGCCGTTCTTGAGTTCCCTCTCTACCTCCCCAAGCCGTTGTTTCAGCCGCCGGCCTCCCCTCTCGCCCTCGCGTCGCGTCGCCCGATTCGCCGCTGCCGCGCTCGGCCACTTCCGCTGTGCCTCCCCTGCCGTCGGCCTCCCTCCTCTCCTTGATTCCCGGCGCCGCCACCTTCCTCGGGCCCCCCCTCGACCTCCCCAACCCCTCCCCCTGGCCGCCGACCTTCCTCCTCGCTCCCGCGCCGTGCCGCCCCTCCCGCCGCCGCAAGGCGCCGCCGCGAGCCACAGCCCGGCGACCATCGGGTCCCGCGTCACCGCGTGTGCGCCGCAACCCCATACCGCGTCCACTAAGCCCGAGCGCGTGAGCCGCATCCCTTCCCATCGCGCATCCACGTCGGCATCCCGGCGAGCTTCGCCGCCGCCGCCGGCCGTCGTCACGCGTCGTCTCCCCAATCCGAGCCATGGAATCGGTTCTCCTTGACCTCCTCTAGCCACCGGTGTTCGTCGCTCGCTTCGGCTTGCCGCTGTTCGCCGGATTTCCGCCGCGCGCCGTGAGCCGTCCGATGCCATTCCCGCCCCCCCCTCTTTTCTCTCCCCATCCGACGTGGCTGCCCACGTGGCGTTGACCGGGCCCGCCCCTGCCCAGTCAGTCGGTCAGCCGTCCCCCTCCCCCTCTCTCCCCTGGCTCGTGGACTTGGCCCATTGGCCAGCCTTCCTCCTCGGCCTAACAAAACAAAGGAAGTTTACTTTTACTCCCTCTTCCGAGTCCGGTGCTCACACACCGAAGAGCTAAAGGTCCGCAATTGCTCCCTCCAATTGCTCCTCTCTCTCTCTCTCACCTTCTTATTGGCCCCACTCGTCAATGAGTCAAAGATAATCTTGAGAATGTCTTTCCAATATTCCACAAATATTTCTCTCTTCTATAAATTCAGTAAATTATTTTATCTTATTTCATGGGTTAATAAATCTTTTTCCCTTGATCCCATAAATCAATTCTCTATTCCAAAATTTCATGAATCATTTTCCTTATAAATCATTTCCTTTGGTCCCGCATGTCAGAGATGGTCAATAATATTCTTGAGAATATTATTTCTATAAATTTCATGAATCAATCTCCCCTTGTTCTACAAATATCTTCCTTCGCCAGAAATTCTAATTAAACTTCCAAAATTCGTATCTCTCGATCCAATCGTCCGATTGACCCCGTTCCACTTCCAGTAATTCCATAAAATTGAGATCTATTTAATGGCACTATTATTTAGTCTAAATAGGGTCTTTTTCTTGGTCTCTTGTTTAGGTTTTTGTTTGTTTGCGCATAGTTGCGGTTACCGGATTTTCGTCGATCGTGGATATCTTGAAGATTCGTGAAGCTTCGTGAAGACCCTGAGCAAGGCAAGCCACCTTTGAACATATTGAGCCTATATTTGAACTTAATTATATTGCTTACAAAATATTATGCATTGATAGGACTACACTTAATTTGTTTGCCCCATCTGAAAGGCAGACCGGTGGGCCTACCCAACTCGTTGCATCTGATCCTTCCATTGTTAATTGTTATATCATGTTCCCTTGTAACTATCTAGTTGCACCTCGATATTCGTGCACTCTGTGCGAGTATCGACGGTCGCCTTCAAACTTAAAATCTGAGTAACTTCTTGGGTAAAACTTGGTTTACAAAAGCTTTGGAAAACCCGACGCCTGGGTCGGTGCCTTGTGAAAGAAAATGAGTTTTAAAAATAAAACTCGCGACACAAGGCCATTCCTGGGCGGAATACTTGTGCGGTCGCATCTAAGGACCGATTCCTTTGGAATTACATCCGAGCATACAATAGTGTGACCACACGGGTGGAATGGGATGCCCCTGGCTGAGTAAATTGCTAATCGGGGGAGCCTTGATGCCGAGAGACATGTGGATTCGCCAGGGTGGTGTCGGGGAGGACCCATGGGCTTCCTGGCACAGTATGGTCTGGGACCTAACCTGTTGTTGGTCTGGGACCCCTCTCGTCGGCATATGGCAATCCTGTGTCTGCTCTCGAAATGCCTTGTCATGAAAGCCCTTAGGTCACCAGACGTGGTCGTTCTACACGGGCTAGGTGATTCGGGTTAGTAATGTCGTGTGGGTAAAGTGTACCCCCTCTGCAGAGGTTAACAAACTGTTCGAACAGCCGTGCCCACGGTCATGGGCGGATGTGAGGTGATTCCTTAGCGTAGTTTTTGTTTTACCCTGTTTTATGAAAAGGTGTTAAGGTTTGGGAAACCTAATGCTTGGGAAGCATTTAGCTACCCTGGGGACAGCGGGACCGGGTGTCCCTGGAAGTGATTGGTCGTTTGGGGACCTCTATTATCGGGAAGTTTGGAAAATTGGTTTGGTTTGGGAAAAACTAGATTTGAAGCCAACTCTGGGAGTTGTGCAAATCGTGATAAATAAATTTGTTACTTCTCACCTCCCGACCGAGCTGAGACTTGTCTCGCTCTGGTTGTAGAAAGCACACACTTAGATTGTTGAAAACTTGAAAACAAAACTGTTTGCAAAATAACAGCCTTCCCTTGAAGCCTGCATTAACCACCTAAGTTCCCCTGGCTTGCTGAGTACGTAAGTACTCACCCTTGCTCTCTATATAAATATAGTTCAGTCAGCTCCGAAGATGAAGTTGAAGTGAAGTAAAGATTAGGGTTTCGTCCTAGTTCCCTGCTGCTGCCTGTGGTGTTGGGTGTTAGACCGTTGGTTCCGCTGCTGCTGCTGTTGTTGGTGTTCGCCTCGTCCGTGTCGTCGGTTGCATTCTCGGGCTGTCTGAGCTGCAACCTAAGTTAAGGTAAATAAGTCCTCTATTTATTTTAAGGATTGCAATGATTCATATTTGTCACCGTGGGTACCAGCGCTATGTCCTGGGACTGGTACTGAGATCGCGGTTTCGTAGGAAGCGGTTCGCGCCGTTTTTCCCACGACACGCTCCTGTCAGGTGCCGTTGTACGGCGGTGCCAGATTCGGGGCGTGACACTATACAGCTAAAAATTGACTCTCTCCCTATCTAAAATACCTTATATTTTGAGATTGAGAAAGTATCTAATTAATGTGCCAGATATCTATACAGCTAATAATTTATTATCTCCCTATCTTAAATCTCTTATACTTTGAGACCAAGAAAGTATCTAATTAATGTGCTATATATATATATATATAATTGATTATCTCTCTATTTAAATCTCTTATATTTTGAGACTGAGAAAATATCTAATTATGCGCTAGATATCTATACAACTAATAATTGATTATCTCCCTATCTTAAATTCCTTATATTTTGAGATTGAGAAAGTATCTAATTAATGCGCCAGATATCTATACAACTAATAATTGATTATCTCTCCATCGTAAATCCCTTATATTTTGATATTGAGAAAGTATCTAATTAATGTGCCAGATATCTATACAACTAATAATTGGTTATCTCCCTATCTCTAACAATAAATCTCCAGCTAGTTGGTTTTGCTTTACATATGAATCAGTTTATTATTGAAGGCATGACAGAACTCCACTGTCCATAGCTACCAAGTGATCTGACAACAGCAAAGTGAGAGTGGATTCTAAGTTCAAGATGTAGGAATATATTATATATACTCTACTTACTTGGGTTAAGTGGCATGTTCACGAGTGTATGAGTATGAGGTACGTGTCTATTGTCGTATATACATATGCATTTTCCGTGTAATCAAAACTAAATAAATATAAAATACTCTAGTTAGTTTTCAAGCGAACACTCTATGACTCACTCGACAACACTTATCCAACCATACACAGGTACCATATACAGATATGTATCATCCGTGTACTAAAAAATAGTAATATGCTCTACTTTTTTTAAGCGAAATCTTCCACTCACTCACTAGATACTTGTCCAACCATACATAGGTGCCATGCATACATATATATCTTCTCGTGTAATAAAAAATATTAAAATATTATACTTATTTTTAAGCAAACTCTCCTTCAATAGACACTTGTCCAACCATACATAGGTACCATAAATACATACATATCTTCTCGTGTAATAAAAATTATTAATACATTATACTTATTTAAGCAAACACTCCTTTAATAAACACTAGTCCAACCATGCAGTGGTGGAGTAGTATATTTGTCTTTTTTTCTGGATGTACAAGGTATCATCAAAATCACAGCTATCAAGCCACACCACTTCATTAACTTTCTCATTAAGAATTGATTTCGCCTTAACTATCTGCCAATATTCTCCAGGTTGGAAGCCTCTGCTGCCACCAACCTTCTCCCATGTATAAATAGCTGGGTGCATCTCGTCCATGGCACTCACCTCACCACACACCCACAGCCGCCGCCATGGAGCAGGTCTCGTGCTTCGCCGCCGCCGCCGCCGTCGTCGTCGTGGTTCTCTTGCTCGCCCGCATGCTCCTCGCGCCGCGCGGGGAGTGGGACGGGCTGAACCTGCCGCCCAGCCCGCCGCGGCTGCCGTTCATCGGCAGCTTCCACCTCCTCCGCCGCAGCCCGCTCGTCCACCGCGCGCTGGCCGACGTCGCGCGGCAGCTCGGCTCGCCGCCGCTCATGTACATGAGGATCGGCGAGCTCCCGGCCATCGTCGTGTCGTCCGCCGACGCGGCGCGCGAGGTCATGAAGACGCACGACATCAAGTTCGCGTCGCGGCCGTGGCCGCCGACCATCCGGAAGCTGCGCGCGCAGGGGAAGGGCATCTTCTTCGAGCCCTACGGCGCGCTGTGGCGCCAGCTCCGCAAGATCTGCATCGTCAAGCTGCTCAGCGTCCGCCGCGTCAGCTCGTTCCACGGCGTCCGCGAGGAGGAGGCCGGCCGCCTCGTCGCCGCCGTCGCCGCGACGCCGCCGGGACAGGCCGTGAACCTGACCGAGCGGATCGAGGTGGTCATCGCGGACACGACGATGCGCCCCATGATCGGGGAGAGGTTCGAGAGGCGTGAGGACTTCCTCGAGCTCCTCCCGGAGATCGTCAAGATCGCCTCCGGGTTCAGCCTCGACGACCTGTTCCCGTCGTCGTGGCTCGCCTGCGCCATCGGCGGCTCGCAGCGCCGCGGCGAGGCGAGCCACCGGACATCCTACGAGCTGGTGGACAGCGCCTTCCGCCAGCGGCAGCAGCAAAGGGAGGCCATGGCCGCGTCGCCGCCTGACATCGCCAAGGAGGAGGAGGATGATTTGATGGATGAGCTCATCAGGATACACAAGGAAGGTAGCCTCGAGGTGCCTCTTACTGCTGGCAACTTGAAAGCCGTCATCCTAGTAAGTATTTTTCTTACTCCCCTGAATGTTCAGATCAGAATAGAGCTTTTCTACTACTCTGGTTGTTCAGGTAAGATTTTTCTGCTACTCTGATTTTGTTTTTGAAGGAAAAAAACAGTTCAGACAAAAGTTCAGAAGAGTATATATATATATATATATGTTCTTGCAGATAGTGTTCAATTAACTTGATGTAGCATATGTATTTTCCTTAGTTGTTTATCTGGTTAAAGTTTCACATGTGTTGCATTTTGGCATTGTACAGGATCTCTTTGGTGCTGGAAGCGAGACATCCTCGGATGCGCTCCAATGGGCAATGTCAGAGCTGATGAGAAACCCAAGAGTGATGGAGAAAGCACAAAACGAGGTTCAAAGCATCCTCAAAGGGAAGCCATCGGTGACCGAAGCCGACGTAGCCAACCTAAAGTATCTGAAAATGATTGTCAAGGAGACTCATAGGCTACACCCGGTGTTGCCGTTGCTCATCCCAAGGGAGTGCCAGCAAACTTGCCAGATCATGGGGTATGATGTGCCCCAAGGTAGTGTCATATTTATAAACTCGTGGGCGATAATGAGGGACCCCAAGCATTGGGATGATGCCGAGACTTTCAAACCGGAGCGGTTTGAGGATGGTGAGATCGACCTCAAGGGTACAAACTATGAGTTCACACCATTTGGGGCTGGACGTAGGATCTGCCCTGGCTTGGCATTAGCCCAGGCCAGCATAGAGTTCATGCTCGCCACTCTGCTCTACCACTTCGACTGGGAGCTCCCTAACAGGGCTGCACCGGAGGAGCTGGACATGACTGAGGAGATGGGCATCACCATCCGAAGGAAGAAGGATCTCTACTTGCTCCCAACTCTCCGTGTGCCTCTTACCGCATAGCACCTTCCGTCCTTGATGTGTGCAATCAGTATGTGTGCTTGTGATGCCTCTACATGAGGTCGCACAAGTTGTACCTCGCTGCTCGTTTCGGCTTTAATAAACCGACAGAAATCTCCTTATTCTATGTTTGGCTTTCTTAATAAGGTTCCATGTTTCATTGCTGTGATTTCTGGCACTGCGATTTACTTACGGGAGAATCAACAAAAATAGTTCATTGACTCCAACAGGAGGCAGCTAACTATCGAAGTGCAACCGATGCTAAAAACCGATCGACAGTGTGTACATGAACGTGAGTCGCGACATTGCCGGCTTTGTAGCCGTGAGGCCGCCGCGCATATCCTCCGGATAGTTGTTAAATTATAGTACATGGGAGCAAATAGCTAGATCCTCAAACAACTATCTCCTGGGATAGTTGTATAGCTATAGCAGGAGATTTAAAACCTTGCAAAAGACACCACCGCATTTATCAACGTGTAGGTGATTTTTGGGGACCCTAAATATTGGGACAAAGGCTGCCCAAGGAGTTCAAGCTAGAGCGAATCACAGATAACGCAATTGATTTTAAGCACACGGCCTTTGAATTCATTCCACAAGTTGTATGGGCATGTTTTTTTTTTTTGGCATGCTGGACTATACGAGCATGTTGCTATTGTTGATAATATAGAAGTGGAAACCACATATTTTCCAAAGAAAAATTGTCCAAATCGAGCAGAAAATTTTGGAATATAATAACTAGAGAATTTTCACGTATAATTTCACGAGGTAAAGGATGTTGATGTGAAAACACGAGGCCTGGGAGATCTGCTTAACTCAAGTGCAGGTTCAAAAGCTTGCTTTTAGGTGTATGAGCGTGCCAGTTGATTTGATCCTGCAATCAACAAGAAATAAAGACAAAGAAACCACGGTTAAATTCATAAACGATAGCCGATCGGCTAGTTGCCGATGACATATCATTTATCTTTGAGCCGATGTCATATGTGAATCGATCGGCAGTCATGAATAAGTAAGAAAGAACTAAATCTATTCGATCGGCTATAGATATTAACAATATATAGTCTCTATGTCGATATATACTTAAATCAAGTGATTGGGATATATCGGTCGCCATGCCGAGACAGTATAAATCACTTAGATCGAAATATATATTAACAACAAGACTATATATGTTCATAGCATAGCCGATCAGATAGATCTAGCATGTATCGGCTAATACTCCGATACTAGTACTCTATATTAAGATATCAAAGCAAGTAAAATATACCAAACAAAAGCCTAATATACATAAATGCAACAATATCTTAATCATAAAGGACAGATTTAACATGTCAATCAAGCATATAAGATAAATGTAGTTAAATCAGGTAAGATCGGCTGAAACTCCGATGCTACCCTAATCGGCAACCAAAAGCAGGCTAGAGATTGAGATTCTAATCACGACTTATAAGGTCAAACCCAACTGATGCAGCTATAAGTATGAAAAGAAGGACAATATCTAGACAATCAAACCGTTGGATGTTTCATAGAGTGGTGAATATCCTATATAATCTAAGTCAACGTCGGTATTTAACCTAATCGGCTGCCTTCTAATAACAGACGTTAGCCGATTGGAGGTTAGATAACGATATTGCCGGAGATTATATGGGATATATGATAACTCGACGAATTATATAAACAAGATTAGAGTATCATAAAGATGGAAGCACTAATCCCGAGAACGCAAGACGCCATAACAATAGTTGAAGATCGAAACCGATGCAGCTCAACCCGAAAGTAAGAACTCATCGAAACAAAACGAAAGTAAAAGGGTGGCGATGCGCCAAGATTGTATTGAACGTGTGTTAGATTGATTACATAGGGTTCGGGGTCTATTTATACCCGAGATTACAAAATATGTCCATATCGTACATGACTCTTATCTCTAACAAACTCTAAGATACCATAAGTCTTTGCGGCAGACTTTTGCCCAAAACATATCTCTAAGGAAATTACATGAAATGTCATAATTAATAGATACAATTGCCTTTTCAGGACTCTATCCATATGTGGCAATCATTATGAAGCACATTAACTCAACCCGACAATGCATGCCGTGTCATATTGTCGGATTCGGCTCAATCGGCTAACCCTGTCCAACTTGGACTCTGTCGATCCTGATCGCAACCGACTCGGACTTCAGATACTTACTCTGTTTCCGGAGTGATCTCCATCTCGTACTCCGCTTCGATCCCATCTTCATCTCCGTTACTTGGATTACCAAATTTGGTCGTTAACAAAGGTATAATTAGATTTGAATTACAACTCTTATCTTCCATTTTTATAAGTACAAGTATGCAATTGTAATATCTACATGAAAAAAAAAACATAATTGACTTTCATACTCAACTATAATTTGTATAACAATTAGATTCAATATATGGCTCTTAGCTTCTGTTTTTATAAATAAAATTGTTTTTTTACACAACTATATTGAACAATCTACACCGCTATATTTTGAATACTATAATTTAATGGCCAAGATCTTTCTTTTTATTCTTCAATTAAGTGAGAATTTTTAGCCTCTAGAAGAAATGTGTTGCCTTCATCTTTTATCTATTTTTTACTATAGTAGATATATCGGTAGATATAAGTAGATAGGTTTATTTTTTTAACAATATATGGATATAGATTTGTAAGGTTATGGATAACATATACCTAATAGTAATCAACTAAGCTTGGCGGGGCTCATCATATACCAAGTCCTATATGGAATCATACCACGTATATAGAAGGAGTTCCGGATAAGGAAGAACAAGTAGAGTTCTACATGGAAACTGTAAGAACTACTCGGATTGTATGCATATTGGTCTCCTAGTTCTACTTGGACAATGGGACATCTATGGGTATAAATACAAGACCCATTAGGAGGAGAGGGAGAGGGAGAGAGACGAAGACAACATCTGTCAGAATAGACACCAATACACGCCGCCGGACATCAACATCAGAAATAAGCCTAGACATACCCAATCTGGCGCCTACGGAGGATGACAAGAGGGATCTGGCGCTATCTCTAATCTTGCCGGGTACTTATTCAAGGAGGAAGACTACCCTGTCGTCGACAACGTGTTGGTGTTCCATGCTGCCAAGTTGACGACAAGTAGATAGGTTATCTCAAATATTGTACTTGTGTAATTCTGATGAATAAGAGCAACATCGGCTTTGGCCAACAGGAGTAGGGTTATTACCTGATTCTGATGAATAAGGGGTCCGAACCTGTATATACTCCGTCTCTTTTACCTCAATCTCGCATATACCCTGGTACCAATGATCACCTTACTATATAAATACAGTAGTCGTGATCTAAAACATTGACAAGATCCGATCATTGTATCCATAAATTGATATACACAGGTAATAGATAGATAGATAGATAGTGGATAGAGAACCAATCTCTATACACAGCCAAGATAGGTAGATATAAATAGATAGATTTAGTTTTGATAATGGATAGAGATATTGCCCCTACGTTCACAAGTGGATATACACATAAAAGATAGATAGATAATGGATAGAGAACCAGTCTCTATACACAGCCAAGATAGGTAGATATAGATAGATAGATTTAATTTTGATAATGGATAGAGATATTGCCTCTGCGTTCACAAGTAGATATACACATAGATAGATAGATAGATAGATAGATAGATAGATAGATAGTGAACGGAGTACAATCTCTATACACCGCCAAGATAGGTAGATATAGATAGATAGATTTAATTTTGATAATGCATAGAGATATTGCCTCTGCATTTACAAGTGGATATACACATAAGAGATAGATAGATATGGATGGATTTAATTTTGATAATGGATAGAGATATGGTCTCTATATTTATAAGTGAATATACACAATAATAAATAGAAAGATAAGAGATGATCTATGTGGCGCCTCCACCTCAAGATGACGTCAAATAAAATGTATTTTTATGGAGACTTTAACAAGACAACTCAAACAGTGCTCTCCGTTTGTTTTTTTTCCTTCTTCAAATATATATATATATATTCTCGTGTAATAAAAAAATATTAATACATTCGACTTATTTTTAAGCGAACTCTATTTAATAGACACTTGCCCAATCATATATATAGCCATCATAAATACATATATATCTTCTCGTGTAGTTAATAAAATACTTATACACTCTATATTAATAAAATATTAATACATATTTATCTTCTCCCTCTTCTTCACTAGCTAGACACCTGTCCAACCATATAGTGGTGTATTAACTATGTGCCAATGTTCTCCAAGAGTCCAGGTTGGAAGTCTCTGCTGTCACTAACCCTCTCCAGTGTATAAATAGCCGGGTGCATCTCCTCCATGGCACTCACCTCACCACACACCACTCCACCATCACTCACAGCCACCACCCGCCGCCATGGAGCAGGTCTCGTGCTTCGCCGCCGCCGCCGCCGCCGTCCTCGTTGTTCTCTCGCTCGCTCGCATGCTCCTCGCGCCGCGCAGGGAGTGGGACGGGCTGAACCTGCCGCCCAGCCCGTCGCGGCTGCCGTTCATCGGCAGCTTCCACCTCCTCCGCCGCAGCCCGCTCGTCCACCGCGCGCTGGCCGACGTCGTGCGGCAGCTCGGCGCGCCGCCGCTCATGTACATGGAGATCGGTGAGGTCCCGGCCATCGTCGTGTCGTGCGCCGACGCGGCGCGCGAGATCATGAAGACGCACGACATCAACTTCGCGTCGCGGCCGTGGCCGCCGACTGTCCAGAAGCTGCGCGCGCAGGGGAAGGGCATCTTCTTCGAGCCCTACGGCGCGCTGTGGCGCCAGCTCCGCAAGATCTGCATCGTCAAGCTGCTCAGCGTCCGCCGCGTCAGCTCGTTCCACGGCGTCCGCGAGGAGGAGGCCGGCCGCCTCGTCGCCGCCGTCGCCGCGACGCCGCCGGGACAGGCCGTGAACCTCACCGAGCGGATCAAGGTGGCCATCGCGGACACCACGATGCGCCCCATGATCGGTGAGAGGTTCGAGAGGCGGGAGGACTTCCTCGAGGTCCTCCCGGAGATCGTCAAGCTCGCCTCCGGGTTCAGCCTCGACGACCTGTTCCCGTCGTCGTGGCTCGCCGGCGCCATCGGCGGCTCGCGGCGAGGCGGTCAACCGGGCGTCCTACGAGCTGGTGGACAGCGCCTTCCGCCAGCGGCAGCAGCAAAAGGAGGCCATGGCCGCGCCGCCGCCTGACATCGCCAAGGAGGAGGAGGATGACTTGATGGATGAGCTCATCAGGATACACAAGGAAGGTAGCCTCGAGGTGCCTCTTACTGCCGGCAACTTGAAAGCTGTCATCCTAGTAAGTAACTTTGCTACTGCTCTTAATGTTCATAGATAAGTTTTCTACTATTATGATTGTTCAGATAAGAATTTTCTGCTACTCTGAATTTGTTGAAGAAAAACAGTTCAGATCACAAATTAAATTTCAGATGGGTAATATATACACACACACTTGCATATTGTCTTTAACTTGATGTAGCATATCTATTTTCCTTAGTTTTTTATCAGGTCAAAGTTTCACATATGTTGCATTTTGTCATTTTATAGGAGCTCTTTTGTGCGGGAAGTGAGACATCCTCGAATGCGATCCAATGGGCAATGTCAGAGCTGGTGAGGAACCCAAAAGTGATGGAGAAAGCACAGAACGAGGTGCGAAGCATCCTCAAAGGGAAGCCCACAGTGACTGAGGCCGACATGGTAGACCTAACGTATGTGAAGATGATTGTCAAGGAGACTCATAGGCTGCATCCGGTATTGCCATTGCTCACCCCAAGGGTGTGCCAGCAAACTTGCCAGATCATGGGGTATGACGTGCCCCAAGGCAGTGTCATATTCATAAAGTCGTGGGCAATAATGAGGGACCCCAAACATTGGGATGACGCCGAGACATTCAAACCAGAGCGGTTTGAGGATAGTGAGATCGATCTCAAGGGCACAAACTATGAGTTCACTCCATATGGGGCCGGACGCAGGATCTGCCCTGGCTTGGCATTAGCCCAGGTCAGCATAGAGTTCATCCTCACCATGCTGCTCTACCACTTTAACTGGGAACTCCCTAACGGGGCAGCACCGGAGGAGTTGGACATGACTGAGGACATGGGCCTCACCATCCGAAGGAAGAATGATCTCTACCTGCTCCCAACTCTTCGTGTGCCTCTTACCGCATAGCACCTACCTTCCTCAATGTGCGCAATCAGTATCTATGCTTGTGATGCCTCTACATAAGATCTTACAAAATGTACCTCGCCACTCGTGGCTGCCTTAATAAACTCTCCTTGTTTTTCAATGTTTGATTTTCTTAATAAGGTTATGTGTTTCTTTGTTGTGATTTGTGGCACTACGATTTATTTATCGAAGAATCAAAGGAATTAAATAGTTAAATGTCTCCAATGGTTGGCAGCTAACTATTGTAGTGTAAGTGATTCCGAAGAGCCGACAACGTATACACGAACGCGAGTCGCGAGATTGCCGGCTTTGCAACCGCTCGCCGCGCATAACGTGTCCTCAGGATCAACACTGCGCAGGATAAAACCTCTATTCTTCTAATATATTAACGTGCAATTCTTGTGTGCGTTAAAAAAAAACACTACGCAGGATAGCATCCGCCGCCGTACGTCGCCCGTCAGTCGTTCATCCTGTCTAGCTCGTTTCAGGCAGCCGATCAGTTCCATCTGCTGCCGCATCCGCGCATCCGAGTGCCTTGCCGAGTTCCGTCGGCCGTGTAGCGTAGCGCTGTCGCCGAGCGTCCGCGCGAGTGCTAACTGTTGCAAGCCTGAAACTGCAGCTGCTAAACTGCACTGAGGCCTGAATCCTAACGATCAAGAAGAGGTGAGAGCAGCAGGCAACAGCAACACCACCAACGTTGCCATCGCCAATTGAGGCCTTGTTTAGTTCACCCCTAACTACTCCAAACTTCCGACTTTCCATCACATCACATCACACCACATCACATCCAAAACTTTTCTACACACATAAACTTCTAACTTTTCCTAAACTTCCAACTTTTTTCAGGAACTAAACACAGCCTGAATTGCAAATTTGTTTTCTATGTTGCCATCTGCACTGCACGTCTGCACCTTGCTATGTTTTTCTTTTAGAGAAGGGTATTTTCTACCCGGCATCTACATCCAACCGGATATATACGGCCATTGAAATAGGGAACTTAGCCCCGCAAACAACCCAATCTGAAATTCACTCCATAGGAGATTTGAACTCAGGACCTTGAGTACTACTCAGATCACTGTAACCACTAGGCTACATGGTTAATAGGTTTGTTCGTTTCTCTTGTTAATTCTTCACAGAGTTCAAAGCCTCAGAGGATGAACTTGGAGATGGAAAGTTGAACGATACTACGCTAGTATGTTCAATCCACATGTTGTATGGGCTATTTTTTTCTTTTTTTTGGGGGGGGAGGCATGTTGGAATATACACACATGTTGCTACTGTTAACAATATAGAAGTGAAAGCTACATAATTTCAAAGAGAAAAATGCCCAGATCAAGCAGAAAAATTTGAAATATAATAACTAGAGGATTCTCGTGTATAATTTCACACAAAGGTAGGTAAAGGTATAATTAGATTTGAAATACAACTCTTATCTTCTATTTTTATAAATAGAAGTATGCAATTATAATATCTACATGAAAATAAAAACAAATTTGAATTTCTTACTCAATTGTAATTTGTATATAGAGGCATTTTATAAATACAAATAGATTCGATATACGACTCTTAGCTTCTATTTTTATAAATAAAATTGTATTTTGTACACAACTATATTGAACAATCTATACAGAGGTATAATTTGAACAATATAATTTAATGGCCAGGATCTTTCTTTTATTCTTCGATTAATATGAGAATTTTTAGCCTCCAAAAGAAACGTGTTGCCTCCATTTTTTTTCTATTTTTTAATATAATAGATATATCGATAGATATAAACAAGTAGGTTTATTTTTTAATAATGGATATAGATCCAACCTCCGTAACAAAAAATGGATATACACAGTTAATAGATAGATAGATAGATTGATTGATTGATTTATTTATTTATCATAATGCACAGAGAACCAGTCTCTATATACAGTCAAGATAGGTAGATATAGCCCTCGCAAAAAAAAAAGATAGGTATAGATAGATAGATTTAATTTTGATAATGGATAGAGATATTGTCTCTGTGTTCACAAGTGAATATACACTAAAGTTAGATAGATAGATATGGATGGATTTAATTTTGATAATGGGTAGAGATCCGTTCTCTATATTTATAAGTGGATATACACAAAAAAAAAAAGATAGATAAGAGATGGTCTATGTGGCACCTCCACCTCAAAACGACATCAAATAAAATGTATTTTATGGGGACTTTAGCAAGGCAACTCAAGCATTACTGCTCTCTCCTTTTGTTCATTTTTTTCTTCTTTAGATATATGAAGTAAGCAATTTGTATGTTTTTCTCTCTGTTTGATTAATTGAGATGGAGATATATATAGCATCCATTTGTGGCACATTACATGGGATTGAGAATTAGATTTTCGAGCGGTACTATGTTTACAGTTCAATTCCCCCACATGAAAACGAGATATTTCAAATTCCCCAAATTATGAGATGTAAATACATGGCCTCAAAAGCAGCAAGAAAACACAAGGATAAGTACAGTGTCCGGGCCGTTGCAAAAATCTTAGCCTCTTATGATATCTGCCGTTGCCATCTCAATTCAGTGGGCACCGCTCGCGGCGCCACCGCATGACGAGACAACGCGGTTTCCGTGGCGTGTAGCAGCAGGCAGCAGCAGCAGCCAGCCTCGAGCTCATCTGCAATGGCGCCCCGCGCCAAGACGGCGCCGCCGTGCGCCGTGCATCGATCTTGCAGATGAAACGGCTCTCTTTGTCATCTCATCTCCATCGCCTCGTATATATCTGTTCCCTAGCCTAGCTAGCTAGCTATCCTGCATTGCATTGCACTCGCGTTCGCGTACTTACGTTGTCGTCGTCGATCATCTGATCACCATGTACGACGCCGTCGCCTGCGTCGTCGCCGTCGTCGTCGTCGTCGTCTTCGCCATGCTTTGGGTGAAGCTGGCGAGGAGTGGTGATGGTGGTGGTGGTGGTAGTGGTGGCGTGAGGCTGCCGCCTGGGCCGTGGCGGCTGCCGGTCATCGGGAGCCTGCACCACGTGGTGGGCGACCGGCTCCTCCACCGCTCCATGGCGCGCATCGCGCGCCGGCTCGGCGACGCGCCGCTCGTGTACCTGCAGCTCGGGGAGGTCCCCGTCGTGGTGGCCTCGTCGCCCGGCGCCGCGCGCGAGGTCACGCGGACGCACGACCTCGCGTTCGCCGACCGGGCGCTCAACCCGACCGCGCGGCGGCTGCGGCCCGGCGGCGCCGGGGTGGCGCTCGCGCCGTACGGCGCGCTGTGGCGTCAGCTCCGCAAGATCTGCGTCGTCGAGCTCCTCAGCGCGCGCCGCGTCCGGTCGTTCCGCCGCGTCCGGGAGGAGGAGGCCGGCCGCCTCGTGGGCGCGCTCGCCGCCGCCGCCGCGTCGCCCGGCGAGGAGGCGGCCGTCAACTTCACCGAGCGGATCGCGGAGGCCGTCTCGGACGCGGCGCTGCGCGCCATGATCGGGGACAGGTTCGAGCGGCGCGACGAGTTCTTGCAGGAGCTCACCGAGCAGATGAAGCTCCTCGGCGGGTTCAGCCTCGACGACCTGTTCCCGTCGTCGTGGCTGGCGAGCGCCATCGGCGGCAGGGCGCGGCGAGCGGAGGCGAACAGCAGGAAGCTCTACGAGCTCATGGACTGCGCCATCCGGCAGCACCAGCAGCAGCGGGCGGAGGCCGCCGTGGTAGACGGCGGCGCCGGCGTCGAGGACGACAAGAACCAAGACCTCATAGACGTGCTCCTGAACATACAGAAACAAGGGGAGCTCGAGACGCCTCTCACCATGGAACAAATCAAAGCTGTTATCCTTGTAAGTAAAATTGACACCTGTCGTATTAAAAGCAAAGTAAAATATATCTACTCTCTTCATCCCAGAGTAACAGGTTCAGATTAAGTGTACTATAATATATCATATCTCGTATGAGATTGATTTATTTTAGGACGGAGAGAGTATGTGCTATCATGGTGGATTATATTTGCTCAATTAGATGGTACAGCTCTCAAATCTTTGTAGTATTTTTCATTCGATCTTTTAACTTTTTATAGGATCTCTTTAGTGGAGGTAGCGAGACATCGGCGACTACGCTTCAATGGGCGATGTCGGAGCTAATAAAGAACCCAATGGTTATGCAAAAGACACAAGCCGAGCTACGTGACAAACTTAGGAGAAAGCCAACTGTGACAGAGGATGATTTGTCTGGCTTAAAGTATGTAAAGCTCATTATTAAGGAGACCCTAAGGCTTCACCCTGTGGTACCACTGCTTGTCGCAAGAGAGTGTCGTGAATCATGTAAAGTCATGGGGTATGATGTTCCAAAAGGCACCACTGTATTTGTTAACGCGTGGGCTATCGGCAGAGACCCAAAGTACTGGGATGACGCTGAGGAGTTTAGACCAGAACGGTTTGAACACAGTACTGTTGACTTCAAGGGCATAGACCTCGAGTTCATACCGTTTGGCGCAGGACGAAGAATATGTCCTGGTATGGCATTCGCAGAAGCAATCATGGAACTTCTGCTTGCTGCGCTGCTCTACCACTTTGACTGGGAACTCCCTAATGGAATGGCAGCGAGCGAGCTGGATATGACAGAGGAGATGGGCATCACCGTCCGGAGGAAGAATGACCTTCACCTCCGCCCCCATCCTCCGTGTGTTGTAAGGTCAAACTTCCGTAGTTTTGTTGAGAGAGAGAGAGAGAGGCACTTCGTGTAGATAAATAAAATGGGTTACAATATGATTTCATATAATAGGGGAAAGTTTTAAGACTAGAAACTTCAGTATTAAATGAGTCAGAAAAAAGTTGGTGCATCGACAAGTTTCATTCTTAAGACATTCTAGCTCTGTGATGACCTCGATGGAACCATACTACCATAGAGATTTGTGTTTTGAAACTGGAAGCTAGCTGGATTATGCTGTTCGAGAAATGCATACAATTTTCCACGATAAATACATTAAATCTGAGCAGCAAAATCTGTTTTACACACTATTACATACGGTTAGAGTAATTTTGCTGTCATCGACAGCCATTTAGGCTGTGTTCTTCCCCAACTTTCGCAACTCACCTTCCTCGTGTTTCACGTGCACGCTTTTTAAAATGCTAAACGGTGTGCTGCAAAAGGTTTATATACGAAAGTTGCTTTAAAAAATCATATTAATCTATCTTTTTAAAAGTAAATATTTAATTAATTATAAGAAAATATGGTACTCCGTTTTGCGTGCGTGGGAGGTGAGTTTCCAACTTCACATCCGAACACAGCCTTAGTAGTCTTAGTATCTCAGGTATTAGTATGGACCAAAATTTATTTATAACGAATATAAAGTATCTTATGGTAAAAAAGATAAAATCCCCCATATGATTAAAATTAATAGCTCTATAATGGTATACGTAATACTCGTCGACATAGGACTGAAACCATAAAACACTGTAGTATGTTTGTATGCTTCCCCATTTATACTTTGATTTTAACAAAGCAACCGAACTAGGGTCAAAATTTCGGAAACCCACCCACCCACACCCCACCCAAAACCCCCTCTGGAAATTATTTCGGCCGATTTTTTTTTGGATATTTCATGGTTTTATGTATTTGGCAAATGTTGTTAAAATTTCAAATTATTTCGGATAGAATAACTAAAAATTGAGAAACTTCAGTATCCGATACAAATACCGAAAATCTCTCCGTTTTATATTATAAGTTGTTTGACTTTTTTTCTAGTTAAACTTTATTAAGTTTGATAAGTTAAAAAAAACAGCAACACCTAAAATATCAAATTATTTTCATTAATTATAACATTGAATATATTTTAATAATATGTTTGTTTTGTGTTGAAAATAGTACTATATTTTTCTATAAACTTATCAAACTTTAACTTAGAAGAAGTCATAATATAAAATAGAGGGAGTAATTTGAACCCCGAACCAAAGTAGACAAGTAGTGCCTCACCTTGTTTGGAGTAGCATGTACTACGATCCCTCCGTCCCAAAAAAACAACTCAACCTATGAGGGGATGTGGCTCTTCCTAGGACAACGAATTTGGATAAAGCGTAGCCCAAATTCATTGTATTAGGAGTGGTCAAATTCTCTTCTAGGTTGAGTTTTTTTTTAAGACGTGGACATGGAGCCAAGGTTGTCAGTATCTCGATTCGTATCCTAGTATCTTACGATACTACGATCCTACCAAGCCGAAACGATACCGATCCCACCTAGTATCCTATTTTTATACTATCGCGATCCTACTATTCATTACTATACGATCCTACGAAATCTTAGGTGGTATTCTGATTCTACGATTCCTACGATACTACAAAATATTATTTAAAATAGCATGGTTTGAAAATAATGTAAATAAATATGCTCAAATTTATATAAAAATCAGTTCAATATATCAAAATCAACGTGGTTTCTCTTAATAAATGTCTCTATTTGTATGACATATATCATTACTATATTTTCTTTATATAGAATGGCTATATATAATTAATGTAAATATTAATTAAGCTTAAAAAAAGAAAATCTCATAGTATCCCGATACTACGTTACGATTCTACGATACGATATTACTTTGAGCAAAACGTTACTCTCTCCATTCTAAATTGATCTACATATTTTATAGGTACACCAAGACCAAGAAAAACTAATAACTCTCTCATACTATATTTACTTTAGCAACAAACTCGATGCATACACCATCCCCAATATTTTCTAAGCCAATAGCAAATCAAGATATTGCATGTGGGATATAAATACTTGTGTGAATACATGCATCAATGTCCATTTACTCCAATGCACAAATAACGAATAGACTTAATAAACGAATATAAATATGTAGATCATTTAGAAATAACATCAAAAGAATCTATATATAAATCAATTTGGAATGGAGAGAGTACTACGTAGTATCCGATAGTGACAACCTTACATGGAGCAAAGCATGGGCCACCTCGAGATGACTAGCACCGGGAATTGAAGCAGTGAGCCCGTACCTACCTATCTACTACTACTATATGCCACTCCAAATACTCGCAGAATTAAACGGTAGTCTTTGTCACTTAATTGGCGCCGAAGCCTCATATATACTACGTATGTGTTAACCTTGCGAAGCTGCAATGTTGCACTTGCACTGCACTCGCCTCGCCGCGATCTGATCGCCATGGATCACGTCCTCGCCTGCGTCGGCATCCTCGTCGCCTTCACGCCGCTGTTCCTCCTTGCCGTGCTCCCGCTCAAGCTGACGAACGGCGGCGACGGGGTGAAGCTGCCGCCTGGCCCGTGGCGGCTGCCGGTGATCGGGAGCATGCACCACCTGATGGGCGAGAGCCTCGTCCACCGCGCCATGGCCGACCTCGCGCGCCGGCTCGACGCGCCGCTCATGTACCTCAAGCTCGGGGAGGTCCCCGTCGTGTTGGCCTCGTCGCCGTGCGCCGCCCGCGAGATCATGCGGGCGCACGACGTCGCGTTCGCGAGCCGGCCGCTGAGCCCCACCGTGCGGCGGATGCGCCCCCCCCCCCCCCGGCGACGGCAGCTCCGCAAGATCTGCGTCGTCGAGCTGCTCAGCGCGCGCCGCGTCCGGACGTTCCGCCGCGTCAGGGAGGAGGAGGTGGCCCGCCTCGTGGGCGCGCTCGTGTGTTTGGCCCATGTGGCCCAGAAGTGGTTGTATAGTGGTGGTTTAGTACCACCTTGAAAGTTTAGGTGGGTTAGGATCTGCTTATAAGCCTTGGTGCTGCGCCATGATTGGGGCCAGGTTCGAGAGGCGCGACGAGTTCTTGGAGGGGGCTCGCCGAGCAGGTGAAGTGTTGTTGGCCCAACCGGGAAAAAGCCTGATGAAAATTCAAATTCAAATTAAGTACAAATTAAAATCCATGTGCTACCATGGTAGATTATACATGCTTAGTTACTCTACTACTCCCTCTGTTTTATATTATAAGTCGTTTGATTTTTTTTCCAGCCAAACTTTGTTATGTTTGACTAAATTTATAGAAAAATTTAACAACATCTAAAATACTAGATTAGTTTCATTAAATCTAACATTGAATATATTTTGATAATATGTTTATTTTGTGTTAAAAATACTATTATATTTTTCTATAAACATCATCAAATTAAGTACAAATTAAAATCCATGTGCTACCATGGTAGATTATACATGCTTAGCTACTCTACTACTCCCTCTGTTTTATATTATAAGTCGTTTGATTTTTTTTCTAGCCAAACTTTGTTATGTTTGACTAAATTTATAGAAAAATTTAACAACATCTAAAATACTAGATTAGTTTCATTAAATCTAACATTGAATATATTTTGATAATATGTTTATTTTGTGTTAAAAATACTATTATATTTTTCTATAAACTTGATCAAAGTTAAAGAAGTTTGGCTAGAAAAAAAAAGTCCAACGATTTACAGTATGGAACTAAGGGAGTAGTAGTTAGTAGATGGTACATCTGATGTTAATCTCAATTTTTTTCTTGTTTTTTTCTCCTAGGATCTCTTTAGTGGAGGGAGTGAGACATCTGCAACCGTGATCCAATGGGCCATGTCGGAGCTCATGAAGAATCCAAGGGTTATGCGAAAGGTACAGGCTGAGTTGCGTGACAAACTAGCAGGGAAGCCAAGGGTGACAGAGGATGATTTGTCCGACCTAAAGTACTTAAAGCTCGTTATTAAGGAGACCTTAAGGCTTCACCCTGCAGCGCCCTTGCTTGTCCCGAGACAATGCCGTGAGCCGTGCAAGATCATGGGATATGATATTCCAAAAGGTACCACCGTATTTGTTAATGCGTGGCTATTGGCAGGGATCCTAATTATTGGGATGATGCTGAGGTGTTTAGGCTAGAGCGGTTCGCAAATAGTACCATAGACTTCAAAGGCATGGACATGGAGTTCATACCATTCGGGGCGGGAAGGAGGATGTGCTCTGGTCTAGCCTTTGCGGAAGCTATTATAGATCTACTGTTTTCTACCCTGCTCTTCCACTTCGACTGGGAGCTCCCTTGCGGAATGACAGCAAGTGAGCTGGACATGATAGAGGAGATGGCCCTTACTGTTCGGAGGAAGAACGACCTTCACCTCCGCCCCATCCTCCGTGTGCCGCAAACTCAAACTTCTTCTGCACTTCTATTTTGTGAGAGAGCTCAAACTTCTTCTGTATTTCTGTTTTGAAAGAGAGTTCAAACTTCTGTTTGTTTTGAGAGAGTACTTTTGTTTATTTTGTTTTGAGAGAGAGAGAGAGCGCGCGCGCTCAAACTTCGTTTGCACTTTTGTTTTGAGAGGGGGAATGCGCACTTTATTTCGGTAAATAAAATGAATCACGACGTGGTTTCATCAGAAAAGAAATAAGGCTATAAACTTCAGTGTGAAATTCTACAAGTCAAAAAAAAAGTTGGTGCATCTGCAAGATCCATTTCTGGGACATGCGCTCTGACTCACTAAGGCGATACAGATTATTGGAACAATAGATTTATGTTCTGAAACAGGGATGTTAGATTTATGTTTTAAAAATAGGAAGCTAGATTATGCACTTCGAGAAATGCTTACAGTTTTTTGCACGATAAATACACTAAATCTTTGTACTCCTGTTGTAACACCTTGACTACCATTAATAAAATAGTTATAAGGTAGAGCCCCTCTACCTTTTTCAGTCAAAAAATAAATAAATACACTAAAGCTGAGCAGCAAATTCTGTACAATTTTTCCAGGTTAACATATGGATAACATGATGAGAATCAACAGCTCTCCGATGGGAAACTACAGAGAAGAGAAAAACAGATATAATTCAGCAAATCTACATGTCGAAAGCTGACCAAAATCAAGGGCAACCTGGTATCCGTCCAGAAAGTAAAATCCTTCACTATTTCTCACCTCTCCAAAATCAGCAACAATTTTACAGGCTTTGGATATCTTCATTAACTCCGGTCTGAAGGAGTTTTGGAGAATATGAATTACAGGCAGCTGCCTAGGTTGTCAGCAAATCCGCCACTGGCTGACTAGAGAAGGGGTTTTGGATCACAAATTTATCATTTTTTTTCTAGGATTTCAGCAGATGCAATATATCATGTAAACAGTAAGAGGCATATCAACATCGATGTCTCCCTTTCGCACTTGGAGCAGAGCAATCCAACAGCAAACAGGGCGATGAGACCCAAAGCAAAAGAAATGAAAACGCTAACAATTTCAGCTGAATCTTCACAGCAACTATCTAAATGTTGCAAAACTGCAATATGATATACATTTCTGGGTTCTGAAGCTATGCTTGGTGAGCAACATCTATTCCAGCCTCGGTAATGAGCTGTTCTGTCAACGAAAAGAGCCCGGCAATTTCCTTTTCAGCATCAAGAATCATATCCATTTCCTTGTTTGGTTTGGTCTTGGAAACAATTCTAGTACTGTTTACACTTGGCGATGCAACCAGATTGATGCCAGAATCAGTTTTGCCACTTCTCAGGAATCCCTTAGCCATATCTGCAAGTTTCTTCAATGTAGTAGTAGCAGCAAGTGCCTCCACCTCCGCAGCTTCAGTTTGAAGATTTTGGAGCCCCATATGAACGGAAAAATCAGAAGGTCTCTTGATGTCACTAGGATCTTTCAGGAACCCTTCCAACTTGTCTACCTCCTCCTTCACATCCCACCTTCTCATTACCGCCTTCAGCTCTTGATCTTTCGCGTCAAGTGCTTCATGGGCAGCTCTTAAATCCATGTCCTTCTGATGCAAGGATTCTTTTAACATCTCTATGTCAGCCTCCAGTTGATTATGCTTGTGCAAATTGGACTTGAGGGCTGTACCTGTGCTCGAAATCTCATCATCCAGCAATGCATAAATGTCCATCTCTTCGCCTTCTACTGAACTAGCAAGATTGCCAGTGAGTTCAGCTATCTTTTGCACCACAGATTCAGCTTGTGAGCAACTGAATTTCATGCTATCCAATTTATTCTGTAGTGTCTGTATGTGTTGTTCTTTATCCTGTAATTCGGTTCTAACCTGAACAAGTTGATCTTCCTTGCTATCTAGCAGCTGCTTTAGTTCAACAACTTCACTGTTCACTTCAGCAAGTCTGCGTTGTGTTTCAGAAAGCTCTGAATCCTTCTCCTGAACAGCTATTTGGATAGATTCCACCTTTGATTTCATATCTTGGACTTCATTTCGGGCTTCTAACAGCTCAGATTCTTTTATTTCAACAAGCTTTAATGAATTGCTGTGCTCATTTTCCTTCTGAACGAGCGCCTTTTGAAGCAACTCAACTTCTTTGGTTTTCTCTTCTAAGCTCTCTCTTTCTTTTGTTAACACTGCTTCCAGAGACTCAACCTTCTCCTTTTCCTGAAGTAACAGTGATTCAAGTTCATGACAGCGAGACTGTGCAGCATTGAGCTCCTTTGCCTTGCCTTGAATCTCCAACCGAGCAGCTTCCAAGTTCTGGTTGAAAGATGAAAGCAATAGCCTTTGACCAGAGAGTTCTTGAACTTGTTTCTGCATCTGCACTGCTTGATCTTCTATCTGTTTTCGAGAGGAGGAGAAAGCCTCTTTTGAAGCGATTAGTTCAGACCGTACAGCATCCAGCAGAGACCTCACACGTTTGAAGTCACTGACTGTATCCTTGATACCATCCATATCCTTGCATGCTAGTTGCGCCACTTCCTTTAACTCTTTCTGTGCTGCTAACCATCCCATATTCTGCCTCTCAAGTTCTTGCTCGGCGATTTTTAGTTTCTGTTCATTGGCCTTTCTCAATTCATTCGATCTGGAAAAATCAATTTCTTTTCTTTTAATTTCACTCCGGAGCTCCTTAATTGTTGCTTCTTGCTGCTCAGCAGCCTGATTAGCTTCAAGAAGCAGCTGTTCCTTGGACTTGATCTCTGAACGCATCAAGGTTACTTCTTCATTCTTCTTCAACATATCTTGCTTAAGCTTTTCCACTTCAGTTACCTTCTGAGAAAGCAAATCTTGTGAGCTGGCAATTTTCTTGTCTTGCTCATCAACAAGAAGCTTCAGGTTATCGATCTGCCTCACTTGTAAAACCAGATCTCTACTTGCCTTACCCAGTGATCTCTCCATTTCCTGTTGCCTTGCATATGCTCTATTGATCCCACGCTCTCTCTGATCAAGATCCTTCTTCGCCCGGTTCAGGCGTACCTGATCAACTGAAACCCGATTCTCCGCATCTCGGAGATCCCTCTCTTTCTTCCTCAAGGTAGACAAGGCGGCCTCAAATTCAGACTTCAGTACATCAATGCTCATACTCAGCTCACTATCCTGGGAAGCACTGGTATCCAACCTTTGCGTCTTCGCAAACAGCCGCTCCAATAGCTCCCTAGCTGGTTCAGTTGCTCCATTCTCGCCATCAGTGATATTTGCTCTAATACCTTTAACAACTGATTTGATCAAATGAGGAGCACATCTCATATGTTGAGCTTGAAATGACACCATGAAACTCAACTTCTGCCTGAACAGCTCCTGTCGGGATTGCAGAAAACAGTGTGCATCAGTAGACTGCTAGAAAAAAGTTGCAACAGGACACCTCCTAGTGAACCTATCTGCAAAAATGGGGATTTTATTTGTACATGAAAATTCTCCCGGTGAACCAAAGGACTGAAATGATATAGTATGCCAAAGTTAACTCTGAACTAAAAATTCAGAACTATATTTATTCACACATAGTTTCAATCTTCAGCAAAGCGACATAGCGCAGCGGATGAATTTTGATCCCAAATCTATCGCCACACACAAACTACAATCGCTAATAGTTCTCGTTAGGTTCTCCGTTATCAAGATTAGTTTAAAGATGTACCGGAATTGACCACCGTCAAACCAATTTCAGCCAAAAAACTCCTAATTAAAAAACTACCACTACCAGGCAGCACAACTTGAACTAGAAAACCAAAAAAAATCCGATCCTCCGTCCCCTTCAAACCGCTAGTAGACGAGCTCGGAATCGGAAACCGAACGAGAACACACACCACCAACAACGAACAACGAGCAACGAGAGAGGAGATACGAGGAGATGGGAAGGGATGCTCACATGTGTGACGGGGCGGCACGACGGGGAGCCGCAGCGGAGAACCGCCGCCGCCGTCGCCGGCGGCGAGGAGGAAGGGGAGAGGGGTGGCATGGCGGCCTAGCACGTGGGTGGGGGGGAGGGAGCGGATCACGGCCGCCCGCGCGAGATCGGACGGCTCACGGCGCGCGGAGACGAGAGAGGAGAGGAGATGATGATGTGGAGGCCGAACCGGACGCGTGTGGACTGCAGTGCAGTGCAGTGGAGTGGGGTGGGGTGTAGTAGATGATTGATGACTCGAGTAAGCGTGACACGTGACGCTCGTGTCGCTTGCTCTTTTTTTTTCTTTTTCTTTTCTTTTTGTTTTGTTTGTTTTGATGGGTTTGTGTTGCTTGCTGTTCTGGGTTCTGGTGCCGTTTCGTTTTTATTCGGGGGTACGTGAGGACAGGAAATGCTGGGCTGTACTACGTGATGAGAGAAATTTGAATTCGAAGATGTTTAAAGAAACCGAAAATTTGGAAGGATTTTAGTGGGATTGTCACCGTTGGATGGGTGATGAAGAACCCTGGCCGTTGGATCAAAACCGCCCGCGGTCCACCGTAGGAGTTCTAGGTGGGCCTTGTCCTTCATCTGGGCCCAAAAACGGGAGCGCACCTACTCATCTAGGCTGTGCTCTTTTCAGTGAGTTCCTAACTCACCCCCTTGTTTTTAGCATGCATAAATTCTTTGCAAAAAGAAAAGAAAATCTTATGAAAGTTGCAAAAAGGTGACATATTTTTGTTCTGCTATTTCTGTCAAAGGAAGTAACAAGTCCAGTCTCTTCAGGAGTAGCAGGTAAATAGAGATATCTGAGACATAATTTGCTCTCTGAATGACAAGTTTTGCATGGATTTGTTTCTGTTCTTCATTTTTTTTCTGTTTCTGGTGTTCTTAGTTTTTCTTCGCACCACATACAGATTCTCCGATTCTCATGGTGTGCACTGCACCATCCTACACTAACCCTAGCAAGAATGAAATATGTATATCTTGAGAATCCTTTGTAAAAGTGTAAAACCTTATTGTCCCTCGAGAATCTCTATATCATCCTGCTATATTAAAATATTGTCCCTTAGTCACCTTCATTCTTTCTTTTAAAAAATGTCAGAAAAATGGAGTTCTACGTGGTGAAAAGATCCTTCCTTTCTTGGAATGGCTCTGGCTCTTCAGTACCAACATGCATGGTAACTGCACATATTTTGCACATAAGAGTATCTCTAACAGCCTCTCCAAATCGAACTCCTAAAACACCCATATAGCCAACTCTCCATCTGATTTAGCTAGTCAAATTAACTGTATACTCCAACAGCCTCTCTATTCTACCCTCTCTATTTTGACTATGACACCGGGACCCATATGTGAGCCACTCCCTTATTCTTTCTCCCCTTCCTTCCCCTCTTCCTCTTTTCTTTTCTAGCGTTGACAAGAAGCAGGCGGCGGCAGCAAGCGGGGAGGGGACGGCGGTGAAGGCAGCGTCGGCGGGAGGCGGCGCTGCGTGGGGACCGGCGGGCTGCGCGGCGGGAGGCGGGCGCCGTGCGGAGGCAGCGGGCGGCGCTGCGCGGAGGACGGCGGGCGCGGCGAGCTTGTGCCGCGCGGAGGCCAGCAGCCACGGCGAGCGGGGGCGGCGGGTTGCGCCGCGCGGGGGCCGGCGGCCGCGACGAGCGGCCGCGGCAAGCGGAGGACGGCAGTCGCGGCGAGCGGAGGCCGGCGGCTGCCGTGCTCGAGTTTCTCCCCATGCCTCGTCGGGCTCCTGTGCTTGGCTGCCGTGTGGGGATGAGGAAGATGGGCTCTGTGGGGCCCACCATTGGCCAGCCAAATAAAGTGACCAAATTTGGCTAGTGGAGGGAGGGTTTTGGCCAGCCGATAGCTTAGCCATCCAGTTGAAGAGGCTGTTGGAGCACGTTTTTTTGGCTAGAATTGCTAAAATTTGGTTTGAAGAGTGGGATGGAGAGGCTGTTGGAGAAGCTCTAAGTAACCGATGAAATACTGAGAATCACAACACTGGGAACAACATGTTAACTTTGGATCAGCACCAGATATGCAGAATTTTACAAGCCATGGTACAACCATACCGAAAACAGATTGTAACAATTAACCATACACACAGATAAGTATATCTGTGAGATGACAAGGGAAGCACCCAAACCTGCCGGTAAACAAGGCATAAACACGCATGCAGAGGTAAACACACAATGCTCCACGGAAGGAAACCAATAACTCCTGCTGATGAATGACAGATAACTTATAATTCTATGCATCAAACTACCTAGCTGAAGGTACTGTCTCACTTGAATCAACTGCCTCGTCTATTGTATCTGCTTTTGAGTTCTTCTCTTCTGTGATGCAGTCTGAACTATCAGGATGAGACGAATGAGATGAGTCCTGGAAGGAGCTGGTCAGATCAGGCTTGAACATCTCATCATTCTCCAAGTTGGAAAGCTTCTCAGCAGATTCTCCCTTGAGCAGCTCAACGACTTCAGACATTATCGGCCTCTGTTCCTGTTTGTTCTGACTGCATGCAAGCCCAACAAGCACCATTCGCTTCAGTTCAGCCTCGACGAAGACATCCTTGAGCTTTGGATCAGCAATTTCCTTGAACTTTTTGTCACGGGCAAGTGGAAGTGCCCACTCCGTGATAGTTAGCTTCGTAGTGGGGTTTAGCTTCTCAACTGGCCTCTTTCCACTGGCAAGCTCTAGCAGCAGTACTCCAAAGCTGAAGACATCACAGCTTTCAGAGGCCTTCCCAAGCATGGCGTATTCCGGTGCAAGATAACCGAGTGTACCCTTCACCTTTGTAGTGACATGGGTTGCACCATCTGGAATGAGCTTTGCAAAACCAAAATCGGCAACCCGTGCTTGGAAATTCTTGTCCAACAGAACATTGCTTGACTTGATATCCCGATGAATGATATGTGGTGTCGCTTGGTGATGAAGATATCTGCATGGTAGAGAGAGATTTCAGATGTAAGATTACTTCTGCATGTACTGAAAGTTGTCATACTGTTACAGCATAATGAATATTTCATAAGGATGTAAAACATGCTTACGCAATCCCTTCTGCAGAATCAATAGCGATCTTCATTCTTCGTTCCCAACCAAGATGGCATTCAGCTGCATGCTGTCCATGAAGGTGGGAGTGCAAGCTCAGGTTTGGCATATAATCGTAGACTATCAGGCGTTCTTGGCCTTCGGCACAATAGCCACGTAAGCTCAACAGGCTCTTGTGTCTCACTGTCGCCAAAACCTCCACCTCAATTGCAAATTCAGTTTCAGCTTTGTTGCTCCAACTCTTGAGCCTTTTCACCGCAATCTGTCCCATGTAGTTAACAGAAGAAGCGTTAGGTTCTGGTTAAAGTGAACTACTTTTTCCTGATTTTGGATTAAACAGATAGAAGGTAAATAGTTCCAACATAATACTTATGATTTATGAAATGATGTTCAAAAACATACTTGTCAAAACGATAGTTTGAATTTGATATTGTAGGGGCTGTTCAGATTGATGCTATTTTCAACCATACCATTTTTTGGTAAAGCTGCCAAAAAAATGTCTATGTTTAGTTTGTTGTCAAATTTGGTAAATACATAAGAAATCCTGCCAAAATTTTAGCAATATTGTCATCTTAAATTTTGGCAACATTGCCATCTTGCTAAAATTTTGGCTACAATCTGAATAGGCCCGTATTTTTTTTTCAACCCAAAATGAAACACAACTCACCGGGATGTAGCAGTTTGGGGGTTATATCACCATGCAACAAACTAACAAGTACCAATGTAGAACAGTTTCATCATCTTCATAATAAATGTGCAACTGTCTGATGGAATAAGTCTTACGCTGTTGGTCTTCTTGTGCTAATTGGTCTTTGTGTTCTTTTTGCTTTTCAGTGCATCTTTCTTTTATGACAGCATCTCCTTTCACTTTTACTTTTTAGAGTAGCAAGCCAGCTATAAATATATATCCCAACCCCCCTCCCCTGCGTGATGGTATGGCACTTGTGAGAAATAAACAGAAAATTGCCCCAACTCTCCTTCTTGAGCTCCCCTCTGTCCTCAGTCGGCAGCAGGAACACCGGCTGTTCCTACTTATCCCTCTTCCCCTGCGCTGACGAGCAGCAGCTCCTCAAAGGCAGTCTCTTCCCCACGCAGCAGCCCCTAGTGGCGTGCCATGTCCGCAGGACAGTCTCAGCGCTTGGTCGCCTCGAGCGCGCGGCTCCGGCAGGAGGCCGAGTTCACCGCGGCAGAGGAACGCGAGCGAGTGGTGGTAGAGACCGCTGCGACGGCAGCGAGGGCGTCAAGGCTGGCGGCAGCAAAATTGGCAACGGTAAGGGCGGAAGTGGAAGCGGCGGCGGCGGCGGCACGACAGTAGCACCAACAGCTCTATCTCCGCCTACGGCAGCTCCGATGATGAGCTGACGAGGGAGGCAGCTCGTGAGCGGGCGGAGCAGTGGGCAGCTGCGCAACCCCACGCGCGCAATGGCGGCAGCTTAGATTGGCGGGGATGCATGTGGCGGCGGCGGCCCAGACGGGCGTGGACGCGGCGGCCCGGTTGGGTCGACGGAGATCGCAGCCGTTGCAAGTGGCATGGCTCTCCCTCACCGGACCGGTACCATGGTCACCACAGGATTTAGGCCGTCATCAGGGAAGTCGGCCCTGGCGGTGTGTGGCCTAAACCCTACCCTCACCAAGACCAACTACGTCGAGTGGGCCGTGGTGATGAGGATAAGGCTCCAGGTGCGACACATGTGGGAGCCAGTTCGGCACGGCGACGTCAACTACGACGAGGATCAACGGGCGCCCAGAAGCGGACTGCCAAGGAGGCCTGGGACGCCATCGCTGCGGCACGCATCGGAAGCGACCGCGCTCGCAAGTCCACATTGCAGGCACTTCGCAAGGAGTGGGAGAACCTGGCCTTCAAGCCAGGTGAGGATGTTGATGACTTTGCCCTCCGTCTCAACACTCTGCTGTAGAAGTTGGTGTCGTATGGCGACGACACCTACGATGAGGAGAGAGCCGTCAAGAAGCTCTTCCGCTGCATCCCAGAGAAGTACAAGCAGATTGCTCGCTCGATCGAGTCTCTGTTGGACCTCTCCACGATGTCGATCGAGGAGGCGATAGGTCGCCTCAAGGTCGTCGACAGCGACGAGCCACAGCCTCTCTCGAGGCTTATCACCATTGGCAGGAAGCTTCATCTCACTCGAGAGCAGTGGGAGGCCTGC